CCATCATGCTTCAGTCTGCTCTTTGCTCCAACATCTTCCTCATCAGTCAGATGCTGTACTCTCGCTTCTCTGACAACCTCCTTGTCAAGCTTCTCGGTGTTTGGGAGCCTCGTGAGGGTTCTGCCCAGCTCCACGCCGCCTCCGGCATTGCCTACTACATGTCTCCTCCCCTGAACTTCAAGGAGGCCCTTCTTGACCCCATTCACACCGCCGTTTACATCACCTTCATGCTGGTTGCTTGTGCTCTCTTCTCCAAGACCTGGATTGAGGTTTCCGGCTCTGCTCCCCGCGATGTTGCCAAGCAGCTCAAGGACCAGGGTCTCGTGATGGCTGGTCACCGTGAGCAGAGCATGTACAAGGAGCTCAAGCGCGTCATCCCTACTGCTGCTGCTTTCGGTGGTGCCTGCATTGGTGCCCTGTCCGTCGCTTCTGACCTGCTTGGTGCTCTTGGCAGCGGTACTGGTATCCTCCTTGCCGTTACGTAAGTCTTCACTCTGGTCTCAGATTTTCTGAAGTGGATACTAACATTCAAATGCAGGATTATATACGGATACTTTGAAATTGCCGCCCGTGAGGGCGACATTGGATCGGGCCTCAAGGGCCTTGTTCCGGGTAACTAGATAAGGCCCCCTTTTTGATGAAAGCATGAGAAGAAGTTTGAGGGCTTATGTTTGTTCTTGCAACTTTCTGTTTCTTCTCAGGTAGTGTGCTGTTGTGGCTGGGATCTGGATTATTTAGTTCTTGACGGATGTATGGCTAGTTTTAACAATTTGCAGGAGGGGAAGATCTTCTCTACGGAGATACGTCCACGCCACAGCTGTATATAGCACCTACCTGGTTTGTAACCATATTGACAAAAGATCTAAAATTAACTTAATTGGCTTGACCATCTCGGGTGTCTTTCTACTCCAACTGCAAGGGGGTGTCTGATAGATCTCTATACTAGGTAACAATTGCGGGTATATACCGAAACCACACTTATACAATCAATGTGCAGTGTAAGCACTGCACATTGGTATTTCCTTTCCCCTCACCTAAGTCCGATAATCACCATTAATAGTCACATACTCGTGACTGAAGTCACAGAACCAATAAATCGCCTCCTCCCCACCAAGACCCTTCTCACCCTTCTCACCACCCCCAAGGTCAACCACAATCTCCAAATCTTCCTCCTGCAGAATAACCGCCGCGCGATCCTCATCCACCTGCTCCGGCTCGCCGTTCACCAACAACTTCAACTCTGCGCTACCATCCACAGGCTTGAAGCTAACACTAGTCCGTTCCGGCACCACCGTCCCCTCTGCAACGCCCTGCGTGTAGCCAATCGCGCACAGAATCCGGCCCCAGTTCGCGTCCTTTCCGTACAAAGCAGTCTTGACGAGCGGGGACCGCGCGATCGTCGATGCGATCAGTCGGGCGGACTCGTAGTCGGGGGAGTTCTGCACACGGACCGTTACGAACTTGGTGGCGCCTTCACCGTCCCGGACAACGAGTTGCGAGAGAGATTGCGCGAATGAGGTCAGGACATTCTGCATGGCTGTGTAGTCTGCGGACGAGGTCGAGGTAATGGGTGCGCCACCGGCTGCGCCGTTGGCCAGGATGGCGATGGTGTCATTTGTGCTGATGTCGCCGTCTACGGAGATGGAGTTGAAGGAGCGGGATACGGCGTGCTTGAGGAGCGGTTGGAGGGCTGAGGAGGCAATGGGCGCATCGGTGCAGAGGACTCCCAGGAGGGTGGCCATGTTCGGGTGGATCATGCCGGCACCTTTGGTCATTCCGGCGAGCCGGTACGTGCGGTTGGGGGATGAGGGGAGAGTGAACGTCTGGGAGAGGAGCTTGGGGAAGGTGTCTGTTGTGCAGATAGCGCGGGCAGTCGTGAGCCAGGAATCGTGGGTGGAGGAGAGGGTCGAGTGCGCAGTGGGGATTTTGTCGAGGATCTTGGAGATGGGGAGGCTGTGGTAAGGGTTGGGTTGTTAGTGATGAGCTGCTGGTGGGAGAACTAGGAGAAGCGAAAGGGTCTTTACCGTTGACCGATGACACCAGTGCTCATGACGAGAGTGCTGGGCTGGGCGAGGCCATTGCACTCGTCGACTTTGTCGCCCATGCTCACGGCATCCTCGAGGCCGCCTTTACCTGTCACGGCGTTGGCGCAGCCCGAGTTAATTACCACGGACCGGATGCCTTCGCCTTGAGTAGCCTTCAGAGTATTCTTGCTTGCTTGGACCGGGGCAGCTTGGAACTTGTTGGTGGTGAAGACGGCGGCGGCGGAGCAGGGCGTCTCGGAGGAGATGAGAGCCAGGTCCGGGAACCTGGTGTTCGACGCCTTCACGCCGACGTGGGTTCCGGAGACGGAGAAGCCCTTGGGGTAGGTACCGGAGGCAGGGATATACTTCTGCTTGGAGGCGGGAATGGCCATATCCAAGGGCGCAGAGTAGTAACGCACTTGGCCCTTCACCATGCGGGCGAAGGTAGCCATGGTGGTAGTGGCCGCCGAGTGGGTAGGCAAAGCCATTGGGATTCCTTTTTCCTGGGGCAGATGAGCAGAGGTCAGTAAACCTGCTCCCTGCAATTAGAGGTATTTATATTGGGAAATCCAATGGGTGCGGATGCCTTCCTTAGGGCTGCAGAGACGTCTTTGGGTATATATACCTGCAGGGAGAGAGGATCGGAGATAAATAGAAGTAGATAAATGACTCACCGAATTGACTCGCTCGACTTGTCAGGAACTCACAACCGCAGCTAAATCCTATCGGGCAAAGTGGACGTGTAGACCACTGCCATACAACCAAGTGAGCAGTCCCAATGGAAGATATAAGAATAGGACAAGCCCAAAGCACCGGAAACAGGAAAGGTGAAGTGATGCGATTCGCGGCGATGAAATGCCGCTCCGATATCGCGGAATCGGAGAAACCGTCGGGCCTGCCATTGATTGATTTGCTGCGCGTTCCAGACGCGCCCATCGCAAGGCAAAAAAGTAGCCACGAGGGAGCCGACCAGATCTATCAGCGATCAGCATTCCCAGCAAGCGCGCCCATCCCTCGCGTCCTCTGTTGTGCTCGTCGTCTCTTCTGGACCTCCAGAAGAGCTTTGTTGTGCCCCGGATGGTATTTGCTCTCCGCCATTCCCCCGAAGCTGCTTCGATAACCTCCCCGGACCCATTGACTAAAATGAAACGCAAGCATCCAGAATCCGATGATCAATTCCCTATCTCTACGCCCAAGAGGCAGAGGACTACGGCCACCAATGGCACCGTGAATGGGCATACCAACGGTGAACGTGAACGAACCCCCGAGGCCACCACCACCCCTACGAAACGAGTGAAATCGACACCTCAAAAAGCCCAGACCGACAACACCCCGGCAGCTCTCAAAGCTTCAGGGCTGAAGACTCCAACACAGAAGGCCAAAGCGAAGAACCTGTTTTCAACGCCCACGAAAAAGTCAACTGTTGCAACCCCGTCGAAAGCCCGTGCCGACCGGTCCGCTAAGAAGAAGAGCGCTCGTCTTCTCCTTGAACAGGATGACGAGGAGATATGGGACGGTGCTGATCGTCTTGCGGAGGAGATCCTACAGGATGATACCAACGAGGTCCCTGACAAAATATCAGTGACAGGGAACGGTGTATTAGAATCCATCGAGGAGGAGTCTACTCAACCAGCCGCAAAAGATGCGACAGAAGCAGCACCCACACCCAAACGTCGTGCAGGACGACCAAAGGGCGCAAAGAACAAGCGTTCTCCCACACCAGAAGGAGAACTCCCAGCCCATGAGCGATACTTTTTCCAAAACCGCGCCGGACCACCCCGTACTTCGAACAACAACCTAGGCAAAGTAAACCTCTTAACGCACGAGGAGTACTTCGAAAGGATGTCACAATACGCAGACCCATACAAACAAGAGAAGTCTTTCCTTCTCGACCTCCACTGCCGGTCCTTCCCTCAGTGGGACTTCGAATTCGACCAAGGCTTCAATATTTGCCTCTACGGCTACGGCTCCAAGCGCCGCCTTCTCCAAGAATTCGCAGACTGGCTCTACCACCGCCACCACAGCAGTTCCGCCTCAAGCTCCGTAGTCATCGTCAATGGACACACACCCAACATCTCCATCCGTTCCATCTTCGCCACGATCGTCACCGCCGTCCTGGGCGCCGATATCCCTTCCAAGATGGGCTCTCAACCCCAAGAAGTCCTCGAATTGCTCCAGTCCGTATTAAAGTCCCGATCCTCTCAGAAACCAATTACCGTTCTCATCAATTCCATCGATGCCCCTGCCCTACGGAGAGCGGCGAACCAAGCCCTCCTTGCCCGTTTAGCAGCTACGCCGAAAATTCATCTTCTCGCGACGGCGGATACCCCGAATCTATTGTTGATGTGGGATCTCAGCCTGCGTGACCAGTTCAACTTCGTCTTCCACGACTGTACAACCTTCGCGCCGTTTGATACCGAGTTCGATGTTGTTGAGGAGGTCAGCACTTTGCTGGGAAGAAAGGGTCGCCGTGTCGGTGGTAAGGAGGGTGTCGAATTCGTGTTGAAGAGTCTTCCTGAGAACGCGAGGAACTTGTATCGGTTACTCCTTACGGAGCTGCTCTCTATGGCTGATGAAGGACATATATCGGATGATGACGTGGATGGTGGTGTTAATGGGGGAGGGGACAGCAGCAACGGCCGAGGAGATGAAACGGGTATTGAGTTCCGGATGCTGTATCAGAAAGCGGCGGAGGAGTTCATTGCCTCGTCGGAGATGATGTTCCGGACATTGTTGAAGGAGTTCCATGATCATCAGATGATTACTTCGCGGATGGATACGAGTGGCATGGAGATTTTGGGAGTGCCATTGGCACGTGACGAGATGGAGGGTGTTTTGGAAGATCTGGTATTGAGTTGATTGTTGACTGACAGAAAGATAGATTGATAGATAGTATAGGATAGGATAGGATAGTATAGCGCCTTGCACGGCTTGGCATAAATCCATGATACCCTGTATAACACAGTATAATCATGCCAGCAATTGAAGAATAGTAAGCCCGGTGTTTTTTCATTCGCTAGACAAGATACATAGACTCTTCTTCGGGATATGATTCCACCATATCAGATCGTATTGTATATCTCAGCTTAGCTCGCCTAAAACTGCGCAAACGCAGCCAACCCCATCGTAGCCCCAAAACTGATCTTGAAGGGAATATGATGCGACACTGTCTTTTGCAGATCCACCCGCTTGAAGTACTTCTGCAGAGTGTTGACCGGAAGCAAATTGTATCCTCTTGCCGCAGCCCACTACAATGATATCAGTATTAGCCACAACCCCCATTTAACCAACCAAAACAAAAATGGGAAGGATGTAAGGGATCAATCAAACCCACCTCAACAGCAACAATCCCCATCCCCAAAAGCACCACCAACACTCTTGAAAAGGCCCTCAACCCCACACCCACAACCAACCCCAGCACGCTCCCCAGACTCACCTGGCGCATGTTCGAGGCTGTCAGAATCCCACCGCCTGTAGTATGGTTTGAGTTTCTGGTGGTGCCTTGTTTGCGCAGCAACGGGTCCTGAGCGTCCATGGCCCAGCCGGAGTCCGGGGAGGTCTGGGATTCGGGGCGGTAGTAGGGGGCGGTGTATTGGCATTGCATTGGGGGTGCGCGGAAGGGGGAGAGTGGGTAGAGGGAGAGGGAGAGGCCGACACCGAGGCCGGTGCCTAGAAGAGTGGTGGTTGTGCGGCTGAGGAGGAAGGCCATTGTTGGTTGCGACAATGTGGTTGCGATGGATAGGATAGGAGGGACTTGGTTGGGAGATGGTATGGTGAGACAATTGAGCGCAATTGATGTTTGATTGTCGGTAACGGGATGGGCGGGAGGAATGGATTATAGGAATGAGATGGGATGGGGAGGACCTGAAGGGCGCTGCAGGTTATGGTTATGGCTATGGTTTCAGCTGTCTTGAGTTGCGCCGTTGGTATGCGTACGGTGACGTCACGGGGATTAGCCTAGAGAGGTACCCCGTTCTAAGTAATTTGTGGTAGAAGAAGCTTATGAAGGAAGGATATATGATACGAAGAGAAGGAGGAGGTATTCGTTCAGGATAGAACGTATAAATCGATCGAATGCTGCAGTCAATGGCTGTGGACAGAGAGAAGATGTTGAGGTTGGCAGAAGGATGAGGAGAAGGAAGCAAGCAAGCAAGCAAGCAAGCATGCCTCGGATAGGAAAGATGATTGGAGATGAGGACTGCGGTTAGCATTAATGCCTGAGGCAGACAGGAATAGTTGACGAAGAATACGACTGTGACCATACACACGACCTGCATGACCAGACGTGACCAGCATTACGATACGCCAAGGTGGAAAACCGCGGGAAATCCAGAAGGCCACATATCACGTGACAAACTCTATAGGCAGCGAGGGAGGGACAGGCGGGCGGTGATTGGCTGCCACGGCCGCCCTGCGAACGACGGCAGGAAAAAGTCGGCCGCCGCGGGGAAAAAATCGAGGGGTAGAAAGCAGGAACCGGCACTGGTTGGTCCAGACGCTGCTGGTCGTCCCCGCGGAGGCGACCGGGCGGCGTTACTGATAGTTCAGTACGGAGTACTTAGTAGTAGTAGTTTCTCGTCGACCGTTGACTCACTCCTGCCTTTTCTTTCTCTCGATATTCTCCTCCTTCTTTCTTATCCTACTCGCTTCCTCTCCATTCTCTAGGGTGCCTACATTCCTTCTGGATTTCTTTTCTCGTACATACTCTTGGTCTTCATCCCATTGAATCTTTCTTCCCTCCGCAATGGCTTCCCAGCAGAATGGCGATTCCAACGGCACTGCCAACACCTTCACTCTGAAGGCCGGTTTGGCTCAGATGTTGAAGGGTGGCGTGATCATGGATGTTGTCAATGCGGAACAGGTATGCCTCTACATGGGATACTTAAGCTCAATTTGAGTCAGTCATTGCTAACATTTGAATGTCAACAGGCTCGCATTGCTGAAGAGGCCGGTGCCGCCGCTGTCATGGCTCTCGAGCGTGTCCCCGCCGACATCAGAGCAACGGGTGGCGTGGCTCGCATGTCCGATCCCGGCATGATCAAGGAGATCCAGAAGGCCGTCACCATCCCCGTTATGGCCAAGGCTCGTATTGGACACTTCGTTGAGTGCCAGGTAAGCTACAGTCAACAATTCTCTCACGGCTGTCCGTTTCGCCACAGACTAACACACCGTCCACTAGATCCTCGAAGCCATTGGCGTCGATTACATTGACGAGTCGGAAGTCCTGACCCCCGCCGACGACGTCTACCACGTTACCAAGCACAACTTCAAGGTTCCCTTCGTCTGTGGCTGCCGCAACTTGGGTGAGGCTCTTCGCCGTATCTCTGAGGGCGCTGCCATGATTCGCACCAAGGGTGAGGCCGGTACCGGAGACGTCGTGGAAGCTGTCAAGCACATCCGCCAGGTCAGCTCGGACATTGCCCGTGCCCGTGCCATCTACCAGTCCTCTGCCGACTACGAGCCCGAGCTGCGCCAGTTTGCCCGTCAGCTGGAGGTTCCCTATGAGTTGCTCCGTGAGACGGCCGAGAAGGGTCGTCTGCCCGTGGTGAACTTTGCTGCTGGTGGCGTTGCCACCCCTGCCGATGCGGCGCTCATGATGCAGCTGGGCTGCGATGGTGTGTTTGTTGGTTCCGGTATCTTCAAGTCTGGCGATGCGAAGAAGCGCGCCAAGGCCATCGTGCAGGCCGTCACTCACTTCCGCGACCCCAAGGTTCTGGCCGAGGTGAGCGAGGGTCTGGGTGAGGCCATGGTGGGCATCAACGTGGCGCAGATGTCCGAGGCCGACAAGCTCGCCAAGCGGGGATGGTAAGCGAGGATCATTCTAGAGGCTTAATTTCATCGCGGGCGTTGGAAAAGCTGGTCTACTGTGTTTTTGTACACTTGTGTTGCATTTGCTGCCGTCGAGGCGATTTGTCTTAGTACATTGTTGATATGAGCCATGAGCACATGATCTACTATCCTTTGAGTAATAGAAATGCGGTGGTTAGAGGGAGTTTTTATTTTAGACTTTCTCACTTTCAGGTTCCTTGGCGCACTTCAGCGTTCCACAGTAGATTGATCGTCTGACCTGGCTATAGCCAGCCAATTATCTCACACATCTTTGAGGAAAAAGGGCATCTGATATAATCATCTCGAACACGTACCTTGGGAGACGATCATAATCATAACAAAGGAGCTACCGGAGCAACAGCCCAACTCCGTCTTCCAGGCTAGCGACGGCCCGGAAGGCGCCCTCGGCTTGCCGCCGATCCGCCGATAAAAGCGCGCAAAGACCCATCCCCCCGGTGAACAATTGACTCACCTTCGTGTTCGAACCCCAAAAGCACGCCAAGAAGATTCCACTATCTTTTGTTGAGTTGAGGACAGGGGACCCATCGCGCCCTCTCTTGAGTCTTTGACTGACATTGATTATTCAAATGATCCGCCGAGCCAACGCCGATGAAAGTCTAGGCAAAAAAAATTACTTCGATTACCATACCTAACATAGCACCTTACAGACGGGTAATCTGCATTGACAGCTCTTACTATACCGCTAGTTAGTAATACGGCTACTTACTCCGTAAAAGCAATGCCATACCAACCAATTCTCGGTCATGTGCCTTCCGGCTTGGAGAAATCACTCTGTAAAATTGCTGTAAGCCTGTATGGCTGCTACTAGGGCCACTACTAAAACCCCCCAAGACTGCCTTCTTCGAGACTAGTACTAAGTTCCTCAGGCCGCCACTTCCTTCTATCCTACCTACTACGTTACCGAGTATGGAAGGCACAAAGTACTACAGCATAGCATGAACATTAGTAGTAGAGAGTAGTTACTAGAGCTTATACTTTACACGATCCTTCCACTTCTTAACTTCTATTCTGGTCACTCTCTATGCATGATAGTCCACTGCTATTCGGCTTATCACTCAATTGACACCGTTCCCGCGTCGTTCTCTCTTCACCAATACAAATAGTCTTTAACGTCTTCTAGTATACGATGAATCTCGCCGTGATTCCTATGATCCCCATCACGCTCACCGCTCTGATTGGGATCATCACTATCCCTATACTTTTCCTAGCTTCAATCCCCATTGCATTATTCGTCTTCGGCACGGCCATATGCGGGTGTATCGCGGTTGTCGTATTTGGCCTCTTCTCGATGTTCGTCATCAGCCCCGTGCTCCTGGTGGTCGCGGCTATAGTGTGGACCTGCGTGATCGCCTATAGGTCGTGCAAATTAGCGTTTGTGATTATATTTGGGCTCGTCGTCGATAGGTTGTGGCCTCCCGGGCCTTTGCCAGATAGCTTGGGCTAATGTCAGGGCAGTCTTGGATGAGTTTACTACCAGGAGGCGTTGTGAAGAGGGAGGTGATTCACAGGAAAAGGATTGCTGATTGCTGGATGGACCATAGAGGGATTAAGTATGGACATGGTGGTTTTGTATCACAGTTACTACTAGCGATGGAGTTGTGATGGTGTTTATCGTGTTTTTGTACTAGATAGTTCATGGGAATCGTTTACTCTCCATCTCAAATCATTCAAGATCCATTTTGCTGTTCTTTTCTTTCTCTTCCCACACACAACTTGCACTCATTTACCGCTTCAGAGCCATAAGTGTTTCAAAGTTCATCATCGAGTCAATTCTTTACATCATCATGGAAAGCAATCCCGTCTCCTCAAATACCACACAGTCACCCTCATGCTGCTCCGTCTTCATTATCAAACATCCACACCAAAGACAAAAATAATAAAATGTCTCTCACTATCCCAAATCAGTCAAGAGAGGTTTTCTTAAATGCATCCACACTACCAGTCAGTCACAACCCCTTCATCTCAGACTACAAAATAAGAAACTAAGCTGATCGGTGTCTTTCCTACTGAACTTAACGTCCCAGGGCCCTGTACTCCTGGCGAGTCTCTACGGGATACCAATGATAATCATTGTTCTTGGGGTTATTTCCGGTATCGGTCACGCACTAGCCGCTTTCTCAACACATGCCATGGATATAGTTGTTTATGCCTGGTTGTGGTTCATGATGAGTATGCTGATCATGTTCGGTAACTTCTCAGTACTACTAGAGAGGTTCCGGAGACTTGGGAGATGATTGAATGTCGGTGAATTAGTTCGGACTACAACAGATGGTGTAGGGAAAGGTTATTGTTGTTGTTATTCTTATCATTGTTATGCTATCCAACAGGCTTTGGCTAAAGTAGTAATCGAGACGTTCGCAGGACATTCCTAACGGATAATAGTAGTGTCAATTGTTTGAACAGCTAATGCGTTTCCGCCCATTTCACCCATCGACGAATACAATCGTCCACCCGTTTCAGGGATGTCTTCTCCGCCGTGATCTCAAACCACTCACGATGCTCCCGTCCGCAGTCCGCACATTTCCCTAGGTCGCGGATCCGTACGTCCGCTAGCTCCAGATGGATGAGCCGTTCCACACGGTGGACATGGGGCACTTTGCGTCCCGGGACAAGAGTTGCCGTACTATCATCACCGCCGCCACCGCGTCGAGATGGCGATGGTTGCGGGGTGGAGGGCGTGTAAGGGTAGTATCGGATCAAGGTGAGATGATGGCTGCATTGTCGGCTCCACTCGTTGAGTCGTCGCTGCACGTTGTTGGCCCGTCCAATCTTTAATCGGAGCGTGCCGGGGCTGTCATGAGTTGGTGCAGATGCTAAGGCATTGAGATCACGGGCGGTCCGAATGGCATCGCTTACGCGGCGGTCACGACCTGGGGAGGAGGTCGGCGGCATGAGGTTCGAGGCTACCTCTGAAGAAGGTGGTTCTTTGGACTCAGATGTCGACGGTGTCATCCAAAACATGTAGATGTAGCCTGGCTCGTCGGCTTCCGAAATAGGCTTGGCCAGCTCTGCGGTGAGGTTGGAGGTCGTCTCCGGCGTAAGGCCAGACGGAATCCAAGAAAGAATGTCGTCATCAGTTCCTGAAGAGGAAGAGCCTGGTTTACTGGGCCGAACAGGCACCTGGTGAGGAGACAGGGATGGGGTTGGCGATGACAGCTTCCCAGCGGGCGCTTGTTGCATCTCCGTTGGAGCATTGACCGGCCGCGACGGCCGGATGTCTTCCTCCTCGATGACCTCGAAGCAGCAGCATATAGTCCGTCTGGTCCGCTTCTTTGGTGCTGGTTTCCGCTGTTTGCGACGCTTGTCTGAAGTCCCTGCGTCGTTAAGATCCATCAACCCTAACCGCTCCATTAGAGTGTCGATACTGCCACGAGGCTTCAACCGCGAAGGATAGGGCCCGCTGTTCACCTGCGAAACAGGCACTGCCTGATCTTTGTGCTGCCAGCAGTACATCGCAGAGAGGTCTGTTTGTTGTGGCTTTGAAGCCGGTGTATCTGATGGCGATGGAGACGCCAGAGCACGGCGACATGGCCGCCCGTTGGAGGTAACTCCGCGACAAGTTGTGGCCGGATCAAGCGAGTCTGTGCGACCCAATACGGCTTCTGGCGTATTTGCAATGTGAGGCATGGTGGGAGGTTATGCAGCGCTTCAGCAAAGAGCAAATAGAGTGGAATAAGCGTGGGAAAGAACAGGCAAGAAAGAGCGCGGCAATATCACCAGGCATGTTTAGAAGCAGGCCAGCGACAGAATTCCGAGGTTGAAGGGCTTTATTTGCCCATGGGCTAAGGGGGCAGAGACCCACATCGCGTTATATTTACAGCCGATCAACCTAAATTAGCATCTGGCGAAAAATCGAGGCGACACCTGAAACCGATGCCCCATACGGAGTAAAGTGTCGTGCTGCCCCTTACTTTGTAGGGCCAAGCATGCACCGCCTCTGTGGCTGAGGTAAAACGAGGCGCACAGGCCAGTTTGGCCGACTGCCAGGTCATCGTGTCTGCGCAACTTGCATCAGTTCCACGGCCATGATCCTATGGGGGCTTCACACATGCGTACACATGAGCAGCGCTTGTTGTCGTTCAGGGTGGCGACTCACTGCATCATTCCCTTTACAGCCTCACTTTGGACTTATAGTATAAGCATCCTTTTTTTTCTTATATCTTTTTTACTCTGGTTGATCCAATGCTAGCGACTTGACTGTATTCCACTCCTGTCCCCATCCTGTTCCAAACCGCAGCCGGATAACTTTATTATCTACCCAACGTAGTCGAAACTCACTCCCCGACATTTGACCCAGAACGTGCGTGTCAACTGACTGGTTTGCGCTCTGGCACCCCTTGCCGCTAGCAGTGACGCAAGGAAGCGTTGCCTGTCCTCGGGCGACGTAGACGCGCCTTGATGTTGGTTGGAAGTGCCATTGCTACCTAGATCGTCCAGCGCCGCGGCGAGGTGGGGGCGCGCAGCCCCTTGTTGTTTGAAGATGAGCTTTCGAAGCACCTCACAGAGATGCTCTAGGTCCGACCGCGCGCATCGCCCGGCCACTTGACTGATCAGGATACGACAAAGAGCTGGAAGACACTGCATGATGGCAGTCTGGATAGACCCACCGTCGCTCGGAAGCGTCAGCACGTTGACCCAGAACTGCGAGGCGGAGCGGAGCGGAAGTGGTTCAGGCCCTCGCAATGACAGGAGAGTGAAATTCAAGACAGCTTCAAGGACTGACGGCCGTGGAAGGTCACCCCCATTGGATGAAGGAGCCTGGCTGGCTTCTTGGGGCGGCGTCGTGAGCGCAAATAAGAAAGGGTGATATTTGGGGAGCAAGCGTGTGAGGAAGTCGATGCCGCTATTGGCGACTTCGGGGTCATAGTACTCAGGCTTCTCATGCATCCAACAGAAAGTGTCATACACGTGCACTATCAGCGCAATCGTTTCGTCACGGATTCGCTGACAATGTGAGCTATGAGATGCAAGGAAAGATGAAGCCGTACCCATCACTATGTCAGTACCAACACTACCTAGAGGTATGCTCTTGACGAAGTTGACAGTTACCATTGGTGGGAAGACATATGGCCCTGTATTTTCAATATAACCAGCCTTCAAGATGTCGCATGCGGCTTCGATCATGGTCACATCGACAGGGAAATCGGTGATGAGCAGCTGCATGCATTGCATGATCAGGCTCTGAGACACGGCGCCACTTCCCGTATTCCAGAATGTTGGCGGGTAGGGGTCACCATCTCCATGATCGTTCGACTCCAGGTTCACCTCACCGTCGGTTCTTAGGCCTTTGCCAATACTTGCGACGCAGCGCAGCACAAACTGACCACGGGTCTGAGCCTGCTCCACTAAACCGCTAACCGCCTCATCACGGGCCGCCTCTGCCTGCCCATGGAAAAATTGGAGAATCCGTTCAATGACTTGTGACTTTGCTTCATCCGTAGGCAACGTTTGGATGATGGCAGCGATTCCTTCCAACACCTTTTCCATGGTATGAGTAGTAGCCGTGGGTTTGAAGCGGAAATGCTCGAACTGGTCAATGAAGGCTGGCAGCTCTGAGGTGAGAGCATTGCGGCATGATTTACAAAGATATGCGATCGATTTGGATGCTGTTGGCGCACACGAGCTAACATCGAGAGATGCGAAAAGAAACGTAAGGACGCGAGGTAGCAAGGCATGCGTGCGTTCAAAGTACGACTGATACTTTCCCAGCATGTCCACCAACGTCTGACGTGGTTTGTCTGGGATTAGCACTCCATTTCCTTCGCACAGGCGAGCAAAGTCATCACAGAAGAAGATCGAATTGAGACACTCGTCAGCGTGTTGGTTTTCATCGACAGCCTCCGAAAGCTGAGCAATGCAGAATATCGCAGCCTCAAACGTGCGCCATTCCTGCTGTACCAGTGATACTCTTGCTCGCTCTTGAAAGACCCGGACAAGCTCCACCCCCAACATTGGGTAGATGGCTAGGAGGAAGTCGCACACGTCGCGCCGAAATGAACCGAACTCACTACGGTCATCATCGCCCCAGCCTTGCAGCTCTTCTGGGCTAGGGAACTTCAGCTTTTCAAAGCAGTCCAAAGCCGCTTCGGCCAAATTCCTTTTAGCAGGCTCAAGACTCGTTTGATCTTCCAGGTCCGAATATAAGTCCTGGAGGTCGTCGGCAACTTCTGTCCACCACTCTAGAACAAGTGGCGAGGCCGGATCGTCCACCGCTGCATAGCCAGGAGCCCTGAACAGCGTGTGCAAAAGAGTAAGCATTTTAGCATGCTGTGGGTCTAATTGCTTTGTCATAAGATCTCTCTGCTTCAACGTCGCATAAGCCAAGAGAAGATCCAAGAACGTCATATTCTCGTCCTCAAAATCGGCCTCCATAAGTGACGCGACGTGCGCAGTCCCAAAATCACTGACAACATACTCCATAATTGCAGTGAGATGATCCTGGGTGAAGATACTGTCACGCCAGTCTATCAGCTCGACCACAACCTGTGTTGCGGATTTCGCAAGTCCAGGTACTTTCATGCTCTGAATTATGTAAGCCGTCGTAGAGGCCAGGTCCAAGACAGACAACGAGTCACGCAATTGGATTGCGCTCCGTACATTCATCCACGCCTGGGATGTGGTCAGATATAAGGTGCAACTGAGAAGCTAATAAAGTTTGGAAACAAAACCTACTTGATATGAGTTGATAGCTTCTGTGCCCAGGGCCTCATCTAATGCCGGAATCCCAGAGGCGTGCTGCCGCATAATATGAGAAAGAACATAGTCAACGACAGAAAAAGCGTCCTTGACATTTACGTATGTATGGTGTTCCTCTCGGCTTCGTCTTGGTTCTGAACTCCATCTGTGAATCTCCTCGGCGAGGATGTTTGAAAAATAGAGCAATGAGGTCACATGACGCTCGGACATAGCAGGGAGCACTGCATCCCTCAAATCGATGGACTTGCAGTACTCTTCTGAGACATGTTTCCCGTCTGCCAGTGATGCTGCCAGATTACAGAGTGCTCTTGACCAGGGAGCGTTGGGTTTCAGGAATATGGTTGCGAGGCTTGAAGCCAACTTCCGTATGACCAAGGGTCGCTCGCCTCCATTGACGAGAAAGACATAATGATCTATCAGCCGTCCTAGAAGCTCCTGGGCCTCCTCAGGGCTTAGACTTTGCCTGAATGAGTCGTCTGTCAGCCACGGCCACTGGCGGAAATCGGGGCTCGTAAGGAACGAACCAATCATGATTAATCTTGACCGTGAACGTCAAAGCACCAAAGAACCTTAAGTCCGTGCTGCTCTCACTTAGAAGCTGATTAGCAATGAGCCATGCTTGGGGGCTTTTTTGAAGACTCTGTAGGTGCTCTTGGATGGCTTTGATCTTGGCGGGGTTCCCAGTATTCCCCGGATCATAGAGTTGGGACACGAGCTAGAGATAACGATGCCTTAGTGGTTATTCGATTCATCAACAAGCAGCAAGCGTACCGATTTTGCCTCATTGATGAGGAATTGCGCGTCTAGGGCTTGGCCTGGGATGTCCACAGACATGGCCGAAACAATGAGGGCCTTGTTTAGGCTGGGGAACTGTCACTGGCGCGATATAGATTGGTGAGAGATGGTGAAAGGGGTGTCACGTGCTGATAATGCTATCACGGAAGTAGCAGGCGGTGAGTCAAAGAGGAAGGTGGGATGCGAATGGATGATGGGTCAGAGTGAGACAGCAACGAGAAGAAGGGACACCAGAGCTATACGGTAGTGGGTTGGTGTAAATAACACCCAGATCGAAAAATGATGAGGGCAACAGTTTGGTTCACACTGGTGAATTAGGTTAGCACCAGTTAGTGTAGTCATTCACTTATATCAACTGTAGTGTGGTGTCATAGCTTCACCACCACATCCGGCTGATCATGCAGCGACTGGAATAAAAAAAGAACCCCCAACAGACAAAGCTGCTTTTAGACGAGTAAGGTCAGCAACAGACCGAACGACATGTAGGGATAGTCATCTCGTGTGGATTATTTATGACTGACTCTCTGATATATCAACTATTCCCTAGTTACCAGGTTTCCAGGTGTGTTGAGGCCTAATAACCCAGCCAGCTACTCGACCTATCACTGGTATCTATCTACCCGACCGGAATGAACGGCGAGATAAAATGACGGTAACGACTGGTAACTTCCGTCTCCTTACCAGCCGTGGCAATAATTACTTACTACTCAGTACGTACTAGAGATTCCGTCCCACCGCCCACCAAACCGGAGCTCCAACGGAGAGCTCTTGGAAATTACCCACTTCCGCGTCTCTCCCACGTCTCAATGCTCGGCTACTGCTGCTGCTAGTCTACTTAGTAGTGCTACTTGTGCTTATCGTCCTTCTAAGTCGTTTGCTTTCTCCACGTCTAAACTTTTCCAGCTTCAATCTTACCTGCGCACACGACCTCCCTATCGGAAATTCCAGCTATAACTAGCTTGGTGCCCCTCCCCACCTTTCCTCCGCCTCCCCCTCTACCTTGGCCCTTGCTTGCTCCGTGCAACCTTGAGAGCTGTGTTCTTGGAGTCTTTGGATCCAGGGCCACCTTCTGCTCGGACACCTGCAGCTTCTTCTTGCACATCCTTGCCAGTCGATGCTCTTTTCTCACCCTCCAATTCGCCTTGCTTGGACTTCAGCTTTCCAATCGGCTCGCAAGTTACCCCTGCCCCGTTCAAGGCTCTTCTCCAGCTCCGCCCCGCGCTTCATCATCAATATGGAGACTGTGGACACGTCGGAACGCCTGACCAGGTTAAGGCAGTTGATGCAGGAGCGTAAAGTGGATGTTTACAGTATGGCATCGCCGAACCCAGTTCACTGCTGTTGTTTGTTGGAAATTTTATACTCACTGAATTCAAAGTTGTTCCCTCGGAAGATAGTCATCAGTCCGAATACATTGCTCCATGTGACGGCCGTCGAGGTTAGAATTTCGCTTTCCGCCCTTTTCCAGATTCGGATTTTATTCGCATTTGCGCCTTGTCTCCCTCGCCATGTAACTTACGCTTTGCTTTCTTCCGATAGAATTTATCTCGGGCTTCTCCGGATCGGCAGGAACTGCCATCATTTCCATGACCAAGGCGGCACTATCGACAGATGGCCGTTACTTCAACCAGGCTTCGAAGCAGCTTGACAGCAATTGGGCGCTTCTGAAGCGGGGCGTTGAGGGATTCCCGACCTGGCAGGAATGGTATTGAAACCTACCATAAGAGAACATAGGATCGAAAACTGAAATGGTTCTAGGACTACAGAACAAGCCGAGGGAGGAAAGGTCGTTGGAGTCGATCCAGCTCTGGTTACACCTGGTAAGCAACGTCACGGACCTTACGGCGAAGATCGATCCAGACGCTAAGATCTTGTAGCGGGCGCCCGTAGTCTTTCAGAGACTCTCAAGAAGAATGGCTCATCACTCGTGGGCGTCGAACAGAACCTGGTCGATCTGGTCTGGGGTAAAGACCGACCGGCTCCTCCAAGGGAAGCGGTGAGAGTGCACCCTGCGCAGTATGCGGGCAAGAGCTTCCAGGAGAAAATCAGCGACCTGCGCAAGGAGTTGGAAAACAAGAAGGCGGCTGGCATTGTTATCTGTATGCTATGTCTTTTTCCAGACCCGCTTTGTGTGGTGGCTAACGAATACAATAGCGATGCTCGATGAGATTGCGTGGCTGTTCAACCTGAGAGGCACCGAGTAAGTCTAAAGCCCCCCCCCCGTCTGCTTAGTTCTTGAGTTCGCCCTTTACTTCATGCTAATGGATTTCAGTATCCCATACAACCCAGTGTTCTTCTCATACGCCCTCATAACCCCTACTACCGTCGATCTCTATGTTGACGAGGACAAGTTAACGCCGGAAGTGAAAGCTCATCTAGGCCAGGATGTCGTCATCAAGCCGTATGACTCTATCTTCGCAGATGCTAAAGCCCTTAGCGAGGCGCGAAAGCAGGATGCGACGGGAGCAGCCCCCAAGTTCCTACTGTCCAACAAGGCTTCATGGGCTCTCAGTCTTAGCCTGGGAGGTGAAGAGCAGGTTGAGGAGGTCCGCAGCCCTATTGCTGATGCCAAAGCCATCAAGAACGATGTGGAACTTGCGGGAATGCGCTCTTGCCATGTTCGTGATGGTGCGGCCTTGATCGAGTACTTCGCTTGGCTCGAGAACGAGTTGATCAACAAGAAAACAACCTTGGATGAGGTTGATGCGGCAGACAAGCTGGAACAGATCAGGTCCAAGCATGATCTGTACGCTGGCTTGTCCTTCGATACTATCTCTTCCACAGGCCCGAATGGAGCAGTCATCCATTATAAGCCAGAGAAAGGAAGTTGTTCCATTATCGATCCAACAGCCATTTACCTCTGCGATTCGGGTGCCCAGTATCTGGATGGCACCACTGATGTAACTCGGACGTTCCATTTCGGAAACCCCACCGATTTGGAGAAGAAAGCTTTCACACTGGTGCTCAAAGGTCTCATTTCCATTGATACTGTAGTTTTCCCCAAGGGCACCAGTGGATTTGCGCTTGATGCTCTCGCTAGACAATTTTTGTGGAAGGAAGGCCTCGACTACCTCCACGGTACAGGCCACGGAATCGGCTCTTATCTGGTCAGCACCGCAAAACAGAGCCCCTCGCTTATGTGTGGTGCCATATAGCTAACGGTGTCGACAGAATGTGCACGAGGGACCCATGGGTATTGGTACCCGTGTGCAGTATACTGAGGTCCCTATCGCTGCGGGCAATGTTATTTCTGACGGTAAGGATCGTTGATACAGATAAAAGGCTGCTTGCTGACAGCACCAGAACCTGGATTCTATGAAGATGGAAAGTTCGGCATTCGTATTGAGAGTACGTCAAGACTATCACCCCTCTTCCGCGGCTTTTCTACGGTTGACTAACACCATACTCAGATGTTATCATGGCGCGCGAAGTGCAAACGACTCATAAGTTCGGTGAGAAACCATGGCTGGGCTTCGAGCACGTCACCATGGCTCCGCTGGGCCGTAACCTGATCAACGCAACCCTTCTCAGTGAGGATGAACTCAAATGGGTGAATGAATATCATGCAGAGGTGTGGGAGAAGACTCACCGCTTCTTCGAAAACGACGACTACACACGCAGTTGGCTCCAGCGCGAGACTCAGCCTATATCCAAATAGACTGGTTCGACATACCGCGAGAAGAAACGACCAGCACGAAGATTGGAGGGCGTCTTATGCTGATGGTAATACATATGCTCTCGTCTCTCTTTCGCTACTAGGCTTGATAGGTGCGTTGGAGAACATGCATACATAATCATGTATCTAAGCCGTTGGGCTAGCCCATGTTGATTTTAGAAATTACCAAGTCCGAAGAAAATCTTATGAGAGCGAGAATTCAAAGTTCCTGGTGGTATGGGCCCTATGTGATGATGCCTGCATCCGTTGCCTTTTAAATTCCGACTGGCATTACAGTAGAGAAGAATGGCCCTTCAGAGACCGACTAGATCCCTTGGCCAATAACGCAAAGTCTCAAGAGATTGCACGCTCACATGATTAGGAAAAGAATCAATGCTTACCAGGACAGCAGGGCAACGGATTCCCATGTGGGTCACAACCCTCCATGATGTCGAGGGACATTAGCTCCCGCTGACAGAGCCAATCAGTGCCAGTAGCTGTGCTGCTGCCCACATGTAACTAGTCTACTAACACAGAAGATAGATAAGCAGGTAGGTATAAACCTGAATTGCTCCCCATGAAAAAGGTCTGCTACACTAGGAAGTTAGATTGATGAGATAGTACAGTATGGAATAACAAGGGCATATGCCTACCTTGGATGGACTGTAGTCATCACACCGAACGATCCAACAAGGCAAAAGATACTCTTTTGGAGGACTTTCATACTATGTGCTCAATTGTAAGACGTGCATCAGGCGCAGTGTACAGGACCTCATTTACTTTAAAGGTCTTATCTACATACACATGAGATAGAATAATTGTAAGAAAGATCAATAGGTTCTGCACCCTTGTCAGGCCTGTTTGCTGCGTGGTAGAACTACTACTAGTACGGAGTACATAGGACAAGCTAGGCGGTAAAAGAAGGAGACCGCCAACCCCAAACTGCCGCTTCTATCTACAAGCTGACACCTTCTCCGCATAGCATCCCGGACCTACTATTATTGTTCCCCTCCTCTTCGGTCTGAATTGGCATTGTTTCCTCTCTAGCTCTGAGCTCAACCCAGGTGATCATGCTAGTATCATCTTCTACTTGACTCATTACGACAACACCAATACCAATACATTATCATAACTCCACCTAGGCTCTCGAACAGCCCGTAACCTTGCGCTTCGCCAGCAAAGCCTCGCCTCCTAGTTACCAGCTTCCCCACGAATTGGACTCCAACGAAGACAGTTTTCTGGTATGAGTGGCAGGAACCCTTACGCAAACGGATACGGATATTCCGATACCAGCCGCTATGACCGCGGTGATGGTGGATACGGCGGCAGCAGTAACAGCCTTGGGATGAACGGCTACGGAGGAGGCAGTGCGGAGAGAGAGCGTCGCCCAGGTGGATACGGTGGCTTCTATCCAGAGCCTTCATCATCTTCCTTGTCACCGGGACAGTCACCCGAACGACGACGGGAAAGACAGGAAAGAGATGGTGACCACTCATCGTCGCGATCGCGCACAAGGGACGGAGAGGCTGATAGGAGGGCACTCGGTTCTCGGGATGGGCGCCCTCGCGGAGACAATAGCTGGTTAGGGAGTAATAGCAGCGGCGAGAATGTTACCGGGCATGCGGCGGGTCCCCAGGCCATCGAAGGTTCGGATTGTACCTCTTCTTTCTCTTACCTTTCGCCAGGGGAGGCATGATTGAACAGAAGCATGCTAACACTACTGGCTCCCCGTCATAGATGTCCTGCAAATGGTTCAACGAGAATGGGACTTTGTGGCCTCCGAAAACTGTGTTCCTGTACAAGTCGCTTTGCAGTTGATGGATACCAGTACCTTGGGGAAAGCCGATCGCGAGCCGGATTTCATAAGAATCAATGATAAAATACAAAGGACATTGAAGTCCGTTGTCAATGGTAAGCCGTTGTGCCCCTCATTTGCCTGCACGCGATGCTGAAGTATACAGAACATCACCAGGGTTTCAATAGTTCCATTGGTACTTATCATAAGATCCAGTCAAGCATACAGAGCTCACAAAGCCGAGTCCGCACATTGAAGATCTCGCTGGAAGAGGCGAAATCCGGGTTGTTGTCGACTAAGCCCGAGTTGAAGGGATTGGCTACGTCGTCACAGAAATATGACGACATAATCCAATTATTCAGCCAGATACAAGAAATTCAATCTTTGCCCGAGAGACTAGAGTCACGAATTTCGGACAAACGATTCCTTGCGGCTGTGGAGGTATTGCATAACGCTTTGCGGCTTTTGCGGCGCTCTGAACTCGAGAATATTGGAGCTCTCGCAGATATTCGCGCCTATTTTGGAAACCAAGAAGCATCTCTTACGGACATTCTGATAGAGGAGCTACACGACCACCTCTACCTCAAATCCCCCTACTGTTCAAGCCGCTGGAAACCACCAGCTGCTGATGGTGAAGCAAATGGGGCCCACCCTTCCAGCTGGACTGGAACAAGCTCATGGGAGAGACCCGTTTATGCATTTCTTGGGAAGTTGGACGCATCCACGCCTATGGTCGAAGATGCTTCGCGAAACCCGGAGGCCGACACATTTTACTACATACAACTGCTGATAGAAGCGCTAAACAAGATGGGACATTTGGACATCGCAGTTGATAGGATAGAACAACGCCTGCCTGTTGAACTGTTTGCCGTTGTTGATAAAACTAACGCCGAGATTGATGCAAGGTATCCAAACAACACCCGCGGCTTTGCCTCACAAGATAGCAAGTCAAATCTGCCGACAGATATAATCGAAAAACGCGGTCATGTCCTATCCGAGTTTCTGTGGACCTTGTATGCTAAATTCGAGGCTATTGCTGAAGGTCATCGTGTTGTCCATGATGTTATTGCAGCTATCGTGGAACGCGAAGGGATACCAAAGGGCAGTGCGCTCGCAGGTGGGTTCAAGGAACTTTGGAAGCTTTACCAAAGCGAGGTGCGTGAATGGACTCTGCTGTGTGCTTGTTTGACTGTCTCCCTAACCACATGAACAAGATCCGGTCCCTCATGCATGACTACCTGGCGACGGATGGAGAGTCATCATTCCGGCCTCGGCTCGAAGAGACCGAAGCGAAACGACAACTTTACACAGGGCAGAGAGACAAGAACAAGGTGCGTGCTATGACCAAGACATGCTTATTTTATCGCTCACTGGTCTTAGAAAATGTTTAAATTGTCCGAAACGGATCATACTTCCGAAATCCAAGCCGAACAAAATGAGTTGGACGAGATTCTCAGGTCTTCTGTTCCTGGCTTGGTCACCAAATCAAGCCAGAAAACCGCTATCATTGATGCATCCGACGCTAGACAAGGGAACTCGGGAACTGGACATAAGATCCTCATAGAGCCAAGCGTTTTCAACATGAGCCTCCTTCTTCCTCCTTCACTATCATTCATTCAGCGACTGAAGGAAATTGTACCTGTGGATTCCGATATTGCCATGAGTACATTGACTTCCTTCCTAGATGACTTCTTGGTCAATGTTTTCCTTCCTCAGCTAGACGAAACCGTGACAGACCTCTGCACTCTTAGCTTTATCTCGCCGGATGCTTTCACAGAGGACCCTCACTGGTCTGGAGTCTCTCCCCGGCCGGTCTTCAGGGTAATTACAATCCCACACGGCTTCTTAAATATTGCTAACATCTGGACGCGCAGGGTACGGTCAAGTTTATGTCGATTATTCGAGAATTCAGTAAAATGCTGTCTAGCATCCCACATGATCAAGCTTTCACACAGCTTCTCCTTTCGCAAATAGTGACTTACTACGACAAGTGTTGTGGATGGTACAAAGGTGAGATATCCGTAGCCGGCATTCTTCGTTCGTTCTTCTAATTTGCAACGTCCAGCGATCGTGACCAAAACATCTCCGCGAGACAATGGAGAAGTCCGACTGAAGGCTGCTGCGCGTCATGCGGAATCAGGCGACGTTCATGACATTATCACTGAGTTATGGAACGGAGTGACCGAGAACAAGCGGGAGCTCGTAGACAAGGTAGATAACAACCTCCCCGTACCAAATCATCCTACCAGGAGTCTATGAAGGGCTTTCGTTTTGCAAGGCTCGCGTTAACACCAACAGGAAACCGACATTCTCATTACTTCAACGAATGAGGTTCCATTGGAGCCATACGATATCATATCTGACCCCAAGACAGTCGTATCCTTGTCGCTTCTTTTCAACAGTATGGTTAGTTGAGGCGATAAGTCCAGATATCTTCGATTACAGAAGCTAATTGGTACAGCAATGGTTCGCAAGCCATCTTGCTCAGTTACGTCAAATCACACAGCCAGCCTCGGATACGCGACAGGCTGAGTCCCGACCAGCTAATCGCCGCTGGACTCTAATTGGTGCCATGAAGCCAAAGTGTGAGGGCATCAATCAGCCAGTTTATCTTCCTTTGAACCAAGAGACAGCGACTGTGTTCGATACTACTCTTCAATCTCTCCGCGATCTTGCATGCACTGCTCTCTTCGCCCTGCATGTCGACATCCGCTGCGGCATCATCCACATGCTGAAGCGGACAATGGAAGGCCCCAAGCCCCGGAACACACGAAGCTCGGAACCCACTACGCCATCTCCAAGCTCGCTCGCCAGTTGGTGGCACATTCTCTCAAACCAGCCAACTGCTGCGTCTCCTACGGTGCTTGAGCTGAACAATGACTTGATCGCGTTTGACACCAACATCTCGTCCTACCTAGGACCATCTGAGCGATGGTTCATCACGTCTGGGCTTGCTCGGTTCATCGACCGTACTTTCGTCGCGAACACCTGCCATATTGGGGCTATGAACGAGAATGGCGCGCTCCGGCTCCAGTTAGACGTGCTAGTGCTGCAACAAAATTTGAAGAACATCATCATAGACCCAACAGATGGTGTACGGAAAGAGGACAGTTCTAGCCCACAGCAGAACAGTGAGCAGATCGAGGTGGTTGCTCTGCCTCGTAGCGCTAAATTCCTTGATTGGTTCCTGGAAGGTGCGGAGAAAGCCTTGGACTACGCCAAGGACGAGAAGGAATCCTTTGCAGCCCACGGAGACCAAGCGCTGGCCGCTGGTAATGGCGAACCGTTCACGTACGATGAACTCAAGGTCCTCATTGACCTTTGCTTTTCAGATATCCTCCTCGGCCCCCGAGGCGCGGAGAATCGGGAGGAGTTCATGGCAGCAAAGAAAGCCAGTGCTGATGCGCTATTGAGATTAAACGAGGTAATGTGGGATTCCAAGTGACGGGTAAATTCTTTGCGGCTTTACACCAGGGTTGTGCTGGAGACACAGCCCACAATGGAGGCCATGCCTGGACGCTTATGGCTTTCCGATCGTGGACCCTACCTGATTAGAAACAGTTCAAAGCTAGACAACATTTGCAACAGTATCAACGGAGATTATGATATTTTTGATAAAGATTATTACTGAGATTTTTTGGTGAACGAACACCCGGCTCAAAAGACCCGACCCACTGCGGGATGCCGCGGAGCGGATGGATCCCTCGTTCATTGCTAGACTTCCGTTGGTTGATGGTTCTTTTTGCCGCCATCAGCCCATGTTTTCCACTCCCTTTTACCTATCTAACCCTGGACTGAAAGTGGCTGGCCAAAGGTGAGTCCGGCTTGAACATCCCTGGAGCTCCCAGTTAGGCTATTGGCGGCTTGTTGCAGGGGGGACAGTCGGCCCCAACGTCTTACTAGCCTGCCTTTTCTCTGGCCGTTGGGTGATTTCCGAGCAGTGGGTCGGGCCCGTGTAGTTTAATTACTCAATATCGGAAGCCAGTGATGTTGGCCAACAGCTAAGACCTGCGGAGCAAAGGGAAGACCCAGTGGTCGCGCTGCTCCATCGGTTCTGCTCCGATTCCCTGGCCTTTGAAGGTGGTGATCCACGCCCGGCGTTTCACTTTGCGATCTCATTTCGCGGTGCGCGAACGAAATCGCTGCTGCCTTCCCTCGGGCTTATGTGTCATTAAAGTTATGGCGCTAATCAGGGCAAATCCTTACGAGTGTTCATTTCGTTAGATTGATGGTTGCTGATGGATCACACTATTCTGGCTCTGGGGCCAGACGCCCCGAGTGCTCGTTCTCCTGCTCCTCGCCTCTTATTATCCTACGAGGTTCCTTTCTTCAGTGTCCTCTCTCTTTGTCGCTCTTTTGCCATTCTGTCTGGAACAGCAGATTTTACACCCCTGGGATTTGAAATCCTGTCCATTCCTTACTGACCATTGTTGTGTTGACTGCACGTCCTGTCTTTACTGTGATTCCACGCCATTTCTTGGCCGGCAAAGAGAGAAAGACATCCATTCTTTATTTCATTTCTTGGCACCTTGTCTGAGACACTTTTCTCCATCTTTCAAACATGAAGTATCGATGCCTCGCCTCTTTGGGCATTGCTGCCCTGGGTGCCGCTGCGACGGTCTCTGCCAACCCACTGCTGAACCGCGAAGCTGAAGGTCAATGCCCCCAAGGCTACACCCAGAGCGTCTACTACAAGACTATCACCCTCCAGCCCTCCTCTACTGCGTCAACTGCGCCAACCTCTACGCTCGCCAATGCAGGGGAAGGCCAATGTCCCGTTGGTTACACCCAGAGCGTCTACTACAAGACGATCACTCTCCAGCCTACTTCAACTGCATCCGTCGAGCCAACTTCTGCTCCCGCTGTTGAGCCAACCTCGACCCCTGCTGTCGAGTCGAGCTCTACCTCGATTGATCAGGTTACTACTCTGCACTCGTCTTCCACCTTTATCGTGACTGAGGTCGTGACTGCAACCCCTGCGGTCGCCACCACGAGCTCCGCGGTCGAGAGCGCTGCACCAGTTGCCACCACCCCCTCCGCTGCCGAAGCTTCCCCTGCTGCTGAGACTAGCACTGCTGTGGAGGCTACCTCTTCTTCCTCTTCCTCGGTCGTTGAGGTGACGACCAATGCTGCTGCCAATGCCGCCGCAACTACTGCTGCCGCTCAGCCTACCCCTGAGGCTGTTACCACTGAGGTTGCAACTACTGAAGCTGCCGCGACCACCGAAGCAGCTGCCCAGCCTAGCCCTGAAGCCGCTACCACCGAGGCTGTTACTACCCAGGCTGCTGCTGCCGCTGCTACCACCGAAGCTGCCACTACCCAGGAGGCTGCTGCTGCTGCTACCACCGAAGCCGTTGTTCAGTCTACCGCTGAGGCCGCTACTACTGAGGCCGCCACTACCGAAGCTGCTGCTGCTACCCAGGCCGCCGCCACTACTGTCGAATCCAAGTCTACTTCTACTAGCTCGACCGCTGCTAGCGCCGCGACCTCGTCTGCCTCCAGCTCCAGCTCTTCCACCTCCAGTGCCCTGAGTTCCGAGTACTCGGGTGAAGCAACTTTCTACGGCGGTAACGTCTCGGGCGGAACCTGCTCGTTCACCGAGTACACCATCCCCTCTGGCCTCTTTGGCACGGCCCTCTCCTCCCAACGCTGGGACAACGCAGCCGAATGTGGTGCCTGTGTCGAGGTCACTGGCCCTAGCGGTACCAAGATCAAGGCCATGGTAAGTCTTATCTCCTAAGCACTTCCCTACGCGCTTTTGTTCCTTTCGTTCCTGTCTCTAACAAACATCAAGGTTGTCGACGAATGTCCCGAATGCGACTCCAACCACCTCGATCTCTTTGAGAGCGCCTTCTCTGAACTGGCCGACATCTCTAAGGGCGTTATCAGCATCGACTGGGAGTACGTTGCCTGCGGTATCACCTCCCCGATCGAACTGGTCAACAAGAGCGGCACCTCCGCCTACTGGTTCGCCATGCAGGTCGTCAACTCCAACCTGCCCGTCACCAAGCTCGAGGTCAGCACCGACAGCGGTAGCACCTGGCAATCTACCACCCGTTCCTCCTATAATTACTTCGAGAACCAGAGCGGTTTCGGTACTGACACCGTTGATGTCCGTGTCACTGCCGAGGGTGGTTCTCAGATCACCGTCAAGAATGTCAGCGTCTCGTCTGGCTCGTCTGTCACTGCTTCCTCCAACTTCGAGTAACTTGGTGATGTGATTTAACTAACTGGGTGTCTGCGATGATGGGATATGATGTTGTACTCTTTCTAAAGTTATAATTCTCTGGGGGTGTGTGCCGGGATTGGTCATGCCTCTGCTTCTTTGGTGTATTAGCGCTTTGTTTGAGGGCTTCTTTATACAAATCTTATAAACTTCTTGTATATACTTTTTGAGATGCTCCTTAGGTTGCCACTATTACTGCTTATGTCTAAGAATGGCACTAACCCTGCCATCAACCGCACCTCGTCGGAATAGTCCTTTCTATCTCGTCTGCTTTACATCCTTGGTAATATCGTCTACAACCCAACAAATCCTCATCGTGTCTAATTCATTTCAACTCACTGCACAACATGTCTCCAAACCACACTACTTACTCAGCATCACCATTTCCCCTTTTCTTCCAAAGTACCTACCACAAGAATGCAATTAAAAAAGCCACGCCCTGTCTTCCTCCATCGAGCGGGAGATACAAACATGCAAATCAATGACCGATGAGCCAGCCCCACCTCCAGCCTATTGGCCTATAAAGTCTCTCTTCAATTTGATTTATAGTAAATAAAAAATCAAGTTAAATGTTTGGAAAGGTTAGACAACTATCGTCATCAATCAGACCAATATTTATTACACAGGCACACATCGCATGCATGAAAATGTAATCACGTGATAAACAGTTACCAACGCAAACAACCAAATACAAGACCGAAAAAGTAAACTACTGAATAAGCGAGACGATCTGGACCATCTGGGCTAAATGACAATGACCTGAAGCAGTGAAGTCATGTGTGGTTGAGATTATCTAGCCTGCTGACTGGCAATATCTTCTTACTACAAAGCTATGCATGGGAATGGTAGTTGGTACATAATAGGTAGTTGCTAGTAGTTGGTAGTAGTCAATGGTGATGGGATCATTCATGTATTACTTTACTAGGTGAATGGAGTTAGGCAATGAGAATTACTTATGCCGATTGATGGCCACGCTGTGGGGAAAATGGAGCGGATGTGAACGATTGGGGGCAAGGATGCAATGATGTTTATCTGTGTATTTATAAGTACTAGTACGAAGTGATGAACCACAACAATGTTAGAAATCTAGCGTCATCAATATATTCAATTACGTATGTGCTGCATGTGATCTATTACTCTATTGGTTCTATTGCAGGCAGGACCTTGCATCTGCTGGACAAATCACTCTTATGTTTGATTCCTTATCCGATATCTGCTCTGCTCACTAAATCATTACTAGAACCATACGGAGATCAGACTTGAAATGAGCTTGCATTCCGATAACACGCCGTGGTGTCCTAGGCTGCATGGCCATCGGATCATCCACTCCCAGCCATAGTTTCGCCGTCCCATCCTTAAGAATAGCATACAGAAAGAATCACAGCAGGGGTAAAAGCAGATACGGGGAAATAGAAACAGGATACCCACCCCAGGCTAAGCAATTAAAATAAAAACTGGAGGAGAACCACATCGTGTCCCTCACAACAAAAACCGGACATCGTAAGACTATACCTTGCAAATAACTGACATGGAAAATAAAAGTGGAAACAGGGAGAGATCAGGCAAGGTCTGTTCAAAGAAAGGGGAGAATCTGTTAGGATAAAGGTTAGAGGAAAGGGAAGAGGGAGGAAAGCAAGCGACAAGATCGACGCTATCTCAATGCCTCCCAAGGTAAACAAGTCGTAGCACATGTGAGTATAAAGGAAGGGGATCATGCAGTGATTCTCTCACCACATTGTCTGCACGCGCAGTAATGCAAGTTACTCGAGATTAAACCTGGCCTTGGTCAATGTCAAGGGGCTCCAGCTCCTTCGAGTCTTCGTAGTCTTCGAACTCAAGACCTGCGTCGCGGCAGCGCTGCAACCACTTCAGCGCAATGTCACCCCGACGGTTGACCTCAATCTTCAGTTTGGAGTTCTGCGAACTAATTTCGTTGATAGCATGGCTTGTGGTCATATTGTTCTGATCCCAGCGTTCACTCATGGCTTTCTTTTCTTCGTGTAGTTGGCATATATATTCAATTGCGCGTTGCAGGATGGCGCCCTTGTTCTTGTCACAGTTGGGGACAAGGCGAGCAATCTGATTGATGCCCTCATTGATCGCCTCACGGCGTCGCCGCTCCACTAAGTCCCCGTTAGTGGGTGCACTATGAGAAATGGAGAGGAAAATGTATTGCTGTACCTTCTTTGTGATTGTTTTTACGAATCTGATGCCATTCCGGAGAACCTACGGAAGGCTTCTGGTTCATGCTCTGTGCTTCGCGAGCAGCGTAGACGGCGGCAGCAGTAGAATTGTGACCATGTGCGGAGCCGATAGCCTGGCCCATGTCGTCTCCGAACGTCAAGCCGTGGGCGAGATTATTGTCAAAGGTCGCATCCGGGGGAGGCGGGTATTTGTTCTGAGGGGTGTGGGCGGCGAGTGCCGCCTTGGCAGTGAGGGCATTGTCATCCGAGATACCGTTTTGAGGACCAACATGTTGCAGAATTTGCTGGTCGATGTTGAGTTCTGTCGTAGCGCTTGGAAGATGCGCGTCATAGGATCCAAGAGAGCTATGGGCGAAGTTCGGCTGAGTATCTGGGGCGGGAATGCTGCCGTTGCTCCCATTGGAAGATCGATTCAGACGCTGGGCATCTGGACCGGTGCTATCGGTACTATCGCGCTTTCGCTTGGCTGTAACACTACCATCGGTAGCACCCAACGACGGATCGGACATCGTTAGGTATGTATGATATGACTGCCCTGTGCGTAGCGGTTAGTATCGCAGCGTGTCATTTGGAGAGCCAGCCACCACGTCCGAAACGCACTTACCTGCTAACGATAGGGATTCAGTGTAGTTACCGGAGTTTCGCTCCAGCTCTAGGGGCCTAATCGGAGAGATTAGGCGATTCTCGTTGACTCTAGAAATTCTGTTAGTGACCAAGTCGCTTTTGCACGATCAGTACGGTTCAAGATGGTGTAGGAAACAGATCCGGCGGAGGACAGAAAGTAACAATATTGCAAGGGAAGAAAATGGTATCATTCATTGAATTGTGAAGGAGGCATTGAAGGGTCCCCAGTGAAGGGCTACAGTTGCTGTTGTGCACAGGTGAGGCAGATCTGGTTGGGTTGTGAGCTAGTAACGCGTTTGCTGACGCGCCCACCTCCGCATCCAAGCACCAACAAGCACGGAACACGAGATGAACGGCGCAACCACCATCAGAGATACAACTACAAACGAGAGATGACACTGAAGTGAAAGCAGTAGCACGGGCACATGAGGAGATAAAGAGCAAATCCCTGAGATGGGAGCGATATCGGCGACGCGTCGCGAAGACAGCTTTGCGACCGATGGAAGCGGGAAAAAACAGCATCATCATCCTCGGCCATCGCCCGACCGGGCCATGACGGAGAGGGAGAAGACAAGGGGGCAAGCCAAAGCAGAAGCCATGATGCGATGGCAATGCTTCTGGCCGTGGAAGAACCGCGGAGGAGACAAGAGGCCAAAGAGAGTAGAGGGGCACAGTGCGAGCGAAGGGGAGGAGAGGGAGAGCTGGATTGATTACCTTGGGATGGTCTATCTATCACCTGACAGCAAGTCACCTGCCACGGGCAACAACAGAAGGGAAGACGCCGGTTCGATCGCAGAAGCTGGAGAACGAAATTTGTTCACGAAAGAAATGGTCGGGATCGAAGCATCCACATCAAAGACAGCGGACGGATCGGCTTTGAAAACAAGCAAAAAGTTGTGGCGGATTTTACAATGGAAAAAAGGGATACATGGAGGAGTAGAGAGAGAGTCGAGTAGAGAGGGACTGCTCACGTGGCGAGGGACGAGGACGAGAATCAAAGAGAGGAGAACCGCCCGCTACGGCGCCCCAAACAGACCCGAGGTGTAAAGAATAAGTAACCCAGGCCGATCACCTGACCCCAGTCACGGAGTATTGATAGTAACTACTATCTCACTTAACTACTTGGTAGTAGTTAGTTATACTCCCGCGGTACTGCTGCAATATACTTGGTCGATAGTAAGTACTTCATCACCTCCAAGCTCTGGGCTATTGTAGTACCATATCCGAAAAAGGATAAGAAAAAAGGGGTTATTCTGAGAAGAACTTACAGTAAAGTAGAAACCTACTAGTTGTAAGCAGTCTCTCTCGCTCCAAGTGAGGCCAGCCCGGAATCATACCACCACCAACCATTCTCTGTAATCATCATTCTCATTGAGACTAATTTTTTTTTTCTGGCACATCACTATTATCTTCCTAGTACTTTCCCTTCCCCCTCCTCCCCTCCTCCTCAGTTCCAACCGGTTTCCTCGTCCCTCCTTCTCCATCCTAAAATGTCAGGTGCTGCCATCCCGTGCCCCCTCCTCACCCAACTCTTCGATTACCAATTCTGATTGGTCGGCAGGCCTCCTCTGTCCCGGTGGCCGGAGGAGGGGTTCACCCGGAATCACGTGGAATCCGGCAGCCCTCTTGGCTCGAAAGGGAAAAAGGGGACTGATTGGTGTCCTTTCTGACTTCTCTAGTGTCCTGCGATCGGTCTATTCAAGAACATAGCAGCGATCGAATGGGGGAATGTCCTGTTATCCTGCAGAAGTCCACTATTGGAGTGGAAACGTCGCTGCGCCATGGAGGGTGCCTGCTCATCCCGGTCGGCCCGTCCCTTCCAAGTAGCAACCAGTTACTGGCAGTAGTTACAACTAGTGACTATCTACGGAATACTTATGAGTTATTCTGAGTCGAGTCAGCACATACGTCCCAAGAAGTTATTACGGTGGCTTGTCTCTGATCCCCTCCCCTTAGCCGCCGATCTCTTTTGCAGTCTGAACTTTCTAAATATGTCGTCATGATCCGACTGTCCAGTCACCCACTTGCTCTTGTACCCCCTGTTTTCTTGCGAATGGGTCATAGGTAGTAGCTACTGCTAGTGGCTTCGAATCGTCAGTCTACAAAGTAGTGGTAGAGGGGCCCGCATCAAGCCTGCATTTGGCATAATCAATCTGCGATAGGCCACTATGCCCTCCCCATTGCGCAGCAACTCTGTTTTCCTTCGAACCAACCCGGATCGATTCCCAATCTTTCCAAGGCTGTCCGCTTACCCCAACCATCACATGTATGCTGCGTAATGCAACCTATCAAATCTCTCTTCGCGATCTCTACCAATCTCCTCCTCACCAGGATGGATACGCATCCTCCGAAGTATGCTACCTTTCCTTGTCCAGGGATGCGCGTCAAGGGTTGCATGCAGAAACAGGGGGGGGTACCCGACAGGAAGAAAAAAAAAGGAAAGAAAAGCCTCCTTCCAAGGTTCAGCAGTTGACTTTGAGGAATTAGGAGGCCATCTGACGGGCGAAGTCGCTGATCAGTTGGTCATGAGATAAGATGCTGGAGTGGATACTCTACCATTAGGTACTTTAGTTTGCTGTAGCGATCATTGTCCGGAGCCTTCTGATCATCCGGGGTTTCCTGCCGCAATTGACCTTGGAGGACAGTATACATCTAGTAGGCGGGTATCATCCGGAGAGCAGGAATGGGTCTAGATTCGCCTTGGTCGCTCCCAATGCGAATGAACGGCCAAGTGACGATGACAAGTTACCATCGCCTGTCACATGGATAATGGTCGAGTCTGACTGGGGCCCAGGAAATGTCTCACATGATAGCTCATGGCTCATTGTGGCAACTCGGGACTTTGGAACCAGCCCATCTGTCCGTCCGTCCGTCTGCCTGTCGGTCGGTCGGTCGGTCGGTTGACGAGATGCACTTCGCTCTCCGATAAGAAGTCCACTGGGTCAAGGACGGGGTGGAGGGCCCAAAGCGCATGGAACAGAACAAGTGCGCGAGGAACCGGTGCCCAGATAAGCTTCCTACGCAGCAAGGGAAGGAGCGTATACACGACTCCCATATCCCATAGCGCCAGAAAACCGGACCCTTGGACATGCATTGCGACTCTTATTCGTTATAGATTCCAAGCCCAAAGCACCTCTAGTATACGATCTATTTGATTTACGAACGCCGACTCAAGTGACGCCATCTGAAATAAACTAAATAGGCAGGGCATCACTCCAGGCTGCAACCCACCAATTCCGAGGTGGCTTTGAACTCAAGTGCAGTTGGAATGTCATTTTGAAGCTTTGACCAATCCAAACACCATGCTAGGGTCTGCCGTAGTGTCGGCAAAACAAATACCTTCCGTTGTCGCACCCATCATATCCCAACATAGAATTTTCGTATCAAATGACGGTGCATCTGTCTCAGCGGCATCTGTATCGGCACCAGGATCTCCTTCTTCAATAGAAGTTTCCTTACTCCATGTACGGATTGTTGGTTTCTGTGTGATTGCTACGATAGCACTCGTGCCCGCGTACCGAGCTGGGTTTGTCCCTTCCGCACCCGGTTCTTCTCCGGCTCTGTTGGCAAACACAATGATAATCTTCTTTCCGTGATTAGCATCATCGCCATCGAAGTTGGTCTCATGGCCCATCTTCTTCCTGATAAGCGGCATGAACCGCTGGATCCAGTAATTGAAAGTGTCTAAGTCCGGCTCATCAGCGAGTGAGTCGAGCTCGTTCCGCTCCAACAAGGTCAGCCAAGCCATAGAAAGTATGACCAGCTCAGACTTCGTATCCAAGACCCGATTAGCAAATTCCCAGGCAGTAAAGGGAGCCTCGAACCGGTATGGGTTGATGTCCATACAGATGCCGAAAGAGGTAGCTATCTGGGACTCCACCGAGCTTTGACTCGAGTTTGAGAAGGAGAGCTGGTGGTAGCCTTGCTGAGGGTTGCCCTCAGCCGCCCACGTCTCATCCGTGTAGTATAAGAACGATTTACGGTAGTTTAGGATGATATCACCGGTTTCGTCCACCACCAGAAGGGAGTTGTAGCAAGTCTCTGTGGGGTTAGATGAATCAGCCTGCTGGGCATCATCTCCTCTGTAGACTTCCGGATAGCCCACGCAGACTTTGCAATTGAAGCATTTTGCCGTTTCTCGAGCCCACTGCGCGGAAGGACCTTGTCCAACGGGCTCAAGGAAGGGTCTTATAGCCTCCAACGAGGGGAAGTTGTATCCTGGCCAAATCAATGATCGTGCTGCGTAGAGAAGTCCGGGGGTGGAAGGGAGTCTCAACGGATGTTGGTAGAGGTAAGAGCTCCAGGCTAAGACGCAGGGAACAAGCCACCGAGCACAAACATCCCGAAGCTCATGCGTCGTGTGACACCCATGGGGAGGACAGAGTAACACTTACCCGTCAAGGCCAACTCGGGCAAAATCAAAACATCCGGCTTCAGGAGATCAAGTCCAACCCCAATGCCAACGCCCCGCACTACCTTCCCCTTCTTGAGAAGTTCATTGGCTCTCTTAATATTCCCATCGACATCGCCCAAACGAGGGGCAAACTGCAGCGTTGCTACTTTCATCCCCTGGCGCCGTTGATGGTACAAACGCAGGAATGAAGTACAATAGATTTGAGCTGGACCACAGCTGTTTGTAGTGCGCAGAGTAATACTAATATTGCAGATGGCGAGCGGAAGCGGCGTCAGATGTAGGAGACGGAAGCTGCGTTGGGAGAGTCCGACATGGATGGATGCGAACACTTTGACTGGGGACACAAAGAAAAGGTGCGCAGGACGTCCCACCCGTCTTGGCTTAAAGGAACCGAAGATATTAGAGATGAATTATTCTACTTGGTCCCCTTATCACGGTTGAAGGGAGCAGTAGCGAAGTATAGACGATTGAACAAGACTTTTATTTTTTGATGGCGTGAGTGAAGCGAGAGACTGACTGGACTGGAGAGGGGGAGACTGGAGACACTTCCAGGTCCTGATTGGTGGGGAAGCAAAGTGTTCACGTGATGGTCCCGAGGCCAGAACCCGAAAAGGCTGCCGGGCGACGTCATGGCACGGGGAAAAGAAGGCGATCAAGCTTCATTTTAATTCCAGCCCAGGCGAGTATTTAATCTAATTCAAACTCGGACTGCCTTTGTCCTTGGCCATAAGGGTTCCCTCTATTGCTCGTCTTGTCCTCGAACGTTTAAAAGAGAAATGAACATTGGACCATGCTGTGAGGGGATTTTGACAATCATTCCATCTGATCACAGTGTCGGAGGTACCTGATTTGCTGCACAGCCATTATTGAGGGATGGATGAGTATGGATGGATGCACTACTAAGTACATACTAGGGGAAGATTTTTTTTGTTTTTTATTATTTTTATTAGTTTTAACTTTGGGAAATCGAGGTAGTTCTGGTTCGGCTCCCGCGTTGGGTTGGAGCCTTACTTGGGCTATTGACTCGTTTATTGTTTCGAGTCGGGATTCGGTGGATAAAGGATGGGCCTCTGGGCGAACTCATTCCGCTACAATAATAGACCCATGGCCATCCTCTTTTTTCTCGGCCTAGCAGTTGATTCCTGGAAACCGTCAATCCCACTGCATTCATTCTTTTGAGGGTGGATTCGCCCCATCAACGAGAACCTCATCCTCCATAGTAGTGAGAGCAAGTGTGTATGAAAGGGAGTAGATACTACTGACTATTACTGACCGGGTACTTTCCTTTACTTACTGTTGGTCTTCACCACACCCTTCCCATTCATTCATTGTATACCCCTTGGTCCCCTCCGAAACCTGGAGAGTGCCGTTGGAGGTCTTTTATCCCCCTTTGAACTTAAACATCATCTTGACCAGCATCATCTCCATCGTCCGTCGTTGAATGTCGTGCTCAGATCATCTTCTGTCCCTTGCCGCGCCCCTTTTCGATCCTCACCCGCCAATCAAAGCCGCCCGCTGCGATCGATTCTTATCCTTGGGCCATCGACATCATTTCCTTCTCCTCCCACCACAACGTCTCACCTCTCCTCGTCCACCACGGCCTCTCCGCCATCTAAGCGCGCCTCGCGGCCCTCTCGGTCGTTTTCCTCTTCGAAAACGTCTCCTATCGCGTCGCGAACGGGCCCTTCACTATCCTCGCCCCCGGTTAAAGAAGCATCCCCTTATCCCCCGCGAGGCCTCCGCGTTCGGTGCCATTCCTTCGAGGCACATCCCCCCACATCCTCCGATCAGGTCACCGCAGCGAGTTCCTCCCAATCACGATTCTCATACCGGCGAAAGAGTTCCTGGATACCTCCCACGATCTTGCGCCCACCGTCGGTGCGACTCGCAAACCCCGTCAACTACGTTCCCCGCAACACTCCGGTCACGGTACCCCATCTGTCGCAGCTCTCCGACGAGAACCTTCCACTCGACGCACACCGTGACGCCTACCCTTTGCTGACTATCCCCGAACGGCGTCGCAGTCGACCGACCCCATCCCCGAACAGTCTGGTGGTGGAGCGCAGTCAGGGGGAAACGGAGAGTGGACGCTCTAGCATCGCAGTGCCTCGCGGCCAGAGGCGCAGTGGCGCATTTGACGACCAGCTGGTGTTACGAGAAATGTCCGAGTCGGGAGTGTCAAATGGTGCTCCGGAGGTAAAGAACCCTCGCGCACCGGAACGGGCGCATCTGGGCTTCGATTTTGCGGTAGACGGACCTGGACCGCTTCACGACGACCGGCCTCGCCACATCCAGTCGCAATCCTCGCTGCGGTCACAGTCACACATTGCATCCGTACCATCCATTACTGGAGCCCAGAACGGCGGCGAGACGGATGTAGCGGAGGAGTTAGCCTGGGGCCCTGCGCATCCGTGTTATCCTCACATCAACCCACATGTTCCGATCGGGTCCGAGGAGTACATGACGACCCGCATCATACGAATCCGGCGTGATTGGATGATCAAGGGGGACCTGGCTCCCACATTTTCCAACCTATACCCCGAGATTCTGGACCCGCTATTACCTGAACAAGAGTTTCGAAAGGTGATAGCCACTGTGAATGACGAGCTCATCAAGGCGTTCGATCCGTTCAGTGTTCGCAATTTCATCGACAGTGCGCTGAGCCTTCTGACAGGATGGATTTGGGAAGACATCGGCGCGCCAGGTATCAAAAGCCATCTCAAACGGGTGGAAGCTTGGCTGGAGAGGTGGAACAGAGAGGTCGGGGCCAAGGACGGAGTGCATATCTGGAGTCTCCGCAGGACGGCGTACATGTCGCTAGACATCCAGATTCCGGATCCCAAGGTTGGAATTATTCGCAGTGAAGGAGTCCCATCACTTCCAGGGACCCGGCCGAGCAGCGGTGTCTGATGGAATGCCCGCACGATTTCTATCAAATCGCCATCTGCGGTGTTGAGTCCCGGTTTACATTCTCTACGACTTCCTTCTAATCATCTACGCCTTTTTAATATGTCTCGTCGGGATAGGAGACTGCATTCGAACTCCGATCTCCGAGATTTTATCTATTCTTGTGATTTCTTTTATTTCTGGACTCGCCATCATGATATCCATGCCCTAACTTTGATACCCGCCATGTGGGCGACAGTCCATGTTATCGCAATGTGAACCAGCGCCACGAGGTTTTACTGAATTCGAAATTATGGAGTAACATGTTGCTTCCTGTCGCTCCATGCCGACCCCGTGGACAGCAGATCTGGCCCGCACATGAGACGAGCACAACACCCCATCTCATTCATCAGTGGGTTACTGTCCGTATGTAGTTAGGTGATTATATGAGCTGTGTATATATACATGTATGCTCGACCGTCAAAACCCGGAGAGAGCCTAACATGGAGCTGTAATCGGGGATAATGCGAGCATACACAATGCTTACTCCAAATTACTACAGTTGATCTAGGGATCAATGCCCTCCCCAGTCAAATGTGATTCTGCGGATACGTGGGTGTATCCCGTAGTCGCCTTCACACAAAGTCTCCTAACCGTCCGCTTGGTGTTCATTTCAACGTTGACCCTATATGCCTGTTATCTATACCCCTTCAAGCGCTATAAGTATATATTATATCGACCTACAGGTCGTGCTTCGCCGTCGAGAGAAAAAGCTACGCTATTCACATGCAGAAAGATAATTTTATTGATGGTCATCCTCTGTGGACTCACCAAACCATCTAGTAGTCGGTGTACCAATACGATAATTGAACATCATCTTCTCAAACTAGTACCAAACTAAGCCACAGCACCATCGGTGATTCGTAAAGCTTCCCAAACGGGGGCTCATTGCTCTATTACGATGCAAGTGTCCAAAGCCACCGAAAGAACTATTATCATTGTATGTCGTATACTAATATTTTCCTTACTGCCTTATCTCACTACACCCGAGAATCAACATATCCGCATCGAGGTGTATGAAGACACTGTTATACTCCGCAGCTACTATCTCTACCTTACATTGATAGCCGACAGAGTGCGTAGCACTATAAAGCTGTAAAAGACATTGAAAGGGATTTATTGAAGCAGGAATACTGAATAAAAAGCTCCAAGTATCTTGGAGATATGAAGGTTGGCAACCGCCAGATACTATCTTCATCGAATTTGGATCAGGTACCTGATGTTAATCAAACTCTCGCTACCATGACTACCATTATTAGTAGGACATCTACCTGATATGGTTCCACTAGATGAATATCTTAACGAGGTTCATTCGAAATCGGGCAGTACTATGTATGGTATTGATACAAACGTCCTACGGGCCCGCTAGTCTCCCATATGCTCCCCAAAGCTGAATGATGGTTTGCTCTCAACATTTGAGAACACTGTTTTCATTTAAGAATAGTTATACTATTTAGGGTCGAACTGTCGATGTCCATCCTTGATAGCTCGAACAGCCAATTTGTGTGTGAGGGGTTTGTCGCCGTGACTAGTATTTTCGCATTAGAAGGTCTGGACTCCGTCGATTTCCTTGATGTCCTAATATTTCACCATATCCACAGAAGAATTGAATAAAGAAAACAATATACTGGCTGGTCACTCATCGTGCGCATCGAAAATAACTGTAATGGTTCGAATAAACTATAGTTGTACGGAGTAGGGTCGGCAGACAAACCCCCATCGCCTGCGCTGGTCGAGACCGACTTCAGCTTTCTCTCTCCGCGGCGGCCCCCTCATCCCTCATTCCTCTCCGTTCCCCCCTTTCCTTTGTTCTCCTACTTCTCTTTTCCCCCCTCAACCCCCTTCCCTCATCCTCCGCAGCGCCCTTTCACAATGCTCTCTGGTATCCTCATTTTCAACCAAAAGGGCGAGAATCTAATTTTCCGCGCTTTCCGCAGCGACTGCCGCCCGCGCCTCGCCGACATCTTCCGCATCCAGGTCATCTCCAACCCTCAGGTCCGCTCGCCCATCCTCACCCTAGGCTCCACGACTTTCAGTCATGTCAAACACGAGAACATCTACCTGGTCGCAGTGACCAAGAGCAATGCCAATGCCGCGCTGGTCTTCGAATTTCTATACCGATTGGTTATGCTGGGAAAGAGCTATTTTGGGAAGCTCGATGAGGAGGCCGTGAAGAACAACTTTGTTCTAATTTACGAATTGCTCGACGGTGCGCCTCACCTGTGCTTTCGAGCATACAACCCACCTGAAAGATTGCTAAACCGCATTTACCTCTTTGATAGAAATCCTGGATTTCGGATACCCTCAAAACACCGAGACGGACACCTTGAAAATGTACATCACCACCGAAGGCGTCAAATCCGCCATTGCCAATTCCGCGACCGACTCCAGCCGTATTACCATGCAAGCCACTGGCGCTCTCTCCTGGCGTCGTTCCGATGTCAAATACCGCAAGAATGAGGCCTTTGTCGACGTGATTGAAGACGTCAACCTCCTCATGTCCGCCACAGGCACCGTCCTTCGCGCCGATGTCAACGGCCAAATCGTCATGCGAGCTTACCTCTCCGGCACCCCAGAGTGCAAATTCGGCCTTAATGACCGCTTACTCCTCGATACCGACGCTGCCGGCTCCTCCACCCCAGGCAACCGCGACGGTACGATGAAGGCTACCCGCGCGGCCGCGGGCTCTGTCACCCTCGAAGACTGCCAATTCCACCAGTGCGTCAAGCTGGGCCGCTTCGACGCCGATCGGATTATCTCCTTTGTGCCTCCCGATGGCGAGTTTGAGCTCATGCGCTACCGCGCTACCGAAAACGTGAATCTGCCCTTCAAGGTTCATCCGATTGTGCGTGAAGTCGGCACCACCAAGGTAGAATACAGCGTTGCTATTAAAGCAAACTACAGCTCGAAATTATTCGCGACGAACGTTGTGATTCGCATTCCAACACCGCTGAACACCGCCAAGACGACGGAACGGACCAGCCAGGGTCGGGCAAAGTACGAGCCGGAACATAATAACATTGTGTGGAAGATTGCGCGGTTTTCCGGTGGAAGCGAATACGTCCTGACAGCAGAAGCGACGTTGACGAGCATGACACACCAGAAGGCGTGGAGTCGGCCACCGCTCAGTCTATCATTCAGTCTTCTCATGTTCACCAGCAGTGGATTACTGGTGCGGTACCTGAAGGTGTTTGAGAAGAGCAACTATAGCAGTGTGAAGTGGGTGCGGTACATGACTCGCGCGGGCAGTTATGAAATTCGGTACGTTTAATGCGAACTCCTTGCGTGAATTAATTGTGGGGGTGACTGCTGTGCTAACTCCAAGCGAAACAGATTCTAGTTTGATATGATAGTCTACAAGCTATTACTGCAGGCAGGGTGGCCGATGTTACAATCCCCTATCTGTAACTCAATAGCTTACATTCCGTTTCCCGACCTTTGAGCTTGGTGTCTGGCGTTGACTGATCGATTGCACGTTTCATGTTGGGTGTACTGCTGTACTCATACTAGGTTCTGTTCTCTTATTGCACATAGGGGTGGATTGATGCATGGCATAATGGCATTAAAGGGTTGGTCATGGACATACTTAAATGGCTTGGTAGTTCGATTTTTGTTACATTTTGCCGGAGTACTTACTGCCTCATTATTGGTGCTAACTACTTACTACATCTGGCCAAAATTCATGTTTCTTCTCAAGTTATAGTAGCAATAAATTTTAGTAGCATGGGTTTTAGCTTTATCTTTACTTTTACTTTTATTTTTCATTCATTCAATCATTTATCTATCTATCTATCTATCTATCTTTTCTTTTCTCCCTTCCCTTCTTCGCGTGCCATCTTTCGTATATCCTCTCGATGTCTAACTAGCGTTCAGAATATTAAGACAGTGTTGCGTTCGCAACTAGTACTGAAACTGCTTGACACTGCTTGCTTACTATTGTTGACAAGTAATGCATGAACGGAGGCTCGACCATCACTTATCCGAGCTTTTCCAGTGTACTAAAGCGCGCAAGTTCTCCCAATTCCCTAATGCGCTTACATATACCAAGGATTATAGTATTACTTTAGTAGGCAGAGCTAGTTGTTCATCAGATCGGACCTAGTAGTATATATTTGATGATCAACCACATAACTAAAGGGCGAGTCTACGCTGAGGTTTCAGACATGCTTATGCTTCAGGCGTGCGCGACGTACGCGCAGAGCAGAAACCTACCATAATACAAGTAGAGAGAATAGTTACGTCTACATTTCATCTGCCTTTGGTTGGGGCTGAACCCATGGATAGTTGATAGGAAGAGATTGATAGATAGTACAGTAGAATAAAGTACATACACAACCAGTGTGTCGGTCATAGATAGTCAGTCATATGATACATGAAGATGGAAAACCCGAAGTATGGTGAATACCGATTCCAATCCATATCCCATCTATCCGTTCACCCATCAAAAACTGATGTATGTGGATAGATGGATGGATAGATGGATGGACAAACATGATGTAACTAACCCCGGAAGATAAGAAACAAAACAGGCAGCAACGTGAAAAGGGTAAAGTAATGGTAATAACACAATTTGAAATCCCGAAAGTAACACCCGACGAAAAGAAAGAGAAGAAATAAAAAAATTCCATCCATATCCCGTATCGTACATGAGTCCGTGAATTGTAAAGAAAAACAGGAGAGCCAAATAATCAAAGTCATAACACAGGAGGTAGCGTAGCGATGCTATCAGGGTATTGGCGATTGAAAGATGCAAGTCCAGGAGCGAATTGAGTCGGTATCGTAGGCAATAATCAGAGGTATTTCGAACGGTAGACAAGGAGATATAAACAAAAAGAGGCCATTTAAATCCCCATCAAGTCTGGTTTAGCTCCTTGTCGCAAGCCTATCTCCCCCTGACCCAGGAGAGTTTGCCATCTGCGTCTGATGGACTCGTGGTTCCTGCCCAATTCTCTGGCGCAGTCGTCCAAGACCTGTTCGGAGAACTGATACCTTTCGAGGACCAATTTTACGAGCCGCTGATCGTCCTTTGCGATCCAAGAAGGCGACGGATCGATCGGCGATAATTCGTGTGACACGGACGCTATGGTCTCATCATTTGCTTCGATGGACGGCAGCGGCGCGTCAGGATTGTACAGTGAAATTCCCGAAGTGTTTATTTCCCTTGCGCTCGGATCTTCCTGTGATTGATGTGCCGGCGATAGAGGCGACTGTGTGATCGGGGGTGAATAAAGCGAGTAGAAGTCTTCCCGAGTAAGGCCAAGTGGTAAATCATTGGGAATTTGTCTGCGACGCTTGGGAGTGGAGAAACGGTCGCGCGATTTGGTTCCGTTGGAGAGCGCGGGTTCGCGATCCTCAGGGTCTGAGTCGAGGTCTAATTCGTAAGCAGATCGGTTGCGCTTGTTCGCGCCACGCGTAAGTCTGGAGGGAGCGCAAGGTGATGGGGAGGAGCGTGTGAGATTGTCCAAGTCTTTCTGGGCCACTCGTTTCTGCGACCGAGAGGGAGGAGGGGATCGTAGCTGAAGGGGACTTAGAAGACGCGGAGGAGTCTTGCGGCGGGGGATCGAAGCAGGAGAAATGTTGAGAAGAGATTGGAGGGCGCGACTGGTTCCCAATAGACCATTGCCTGATAGGAGGAGGTCATCTTCGGTTGGGGGTGGTGTGTTGAGTAGCAGGTTGGGCGCGAGATGCGACTGAGTCGACTGTTGTGGCATGTCGCTAGGAAGCGCAGATGGGAGTAACATCTTGCGCGAAGGTGATGGGTATTGCCCAGGGATGAGTGACATATGAAATGACAAAGGAATGATGATGACTTGGAGTGGTTGAGGAGGTGTGGTGGTGGTGGTGGTTGTTTGGTTGGTGGAGTGAGGCAGTCAATGCCGGAGTGTTTGTGCGCGGATCAAGAAGGTACCCGCGAAGAATGCAGGTTTGCGCCGGAAGAGGTTTGGAGGAGAAGAACAAGAGACCGGGTGAAAGAAATTAAGTGAATGAAATGATGATAGCAAGCGCTTTGATTTCGAGTAAGTCCGGGGAAATGCGACGAGGGAGCGACAGCGAAGAAGAAGGGGGTGGTGGAGGAGGAGGAGGATATCAAGCGGCGCAAGTAAGAGGCAGATGATGATGGGATGATGTCGGAGAAAGGAAAGAGTGGGAAAATGGGCGAAAAAGGAGAGGATCCGATTCCAGCGGCTTTTCTGGCGTTTTTGTTCGGTTCCGCAAACGGGGGCCCAGCTTCTGGCCCAATGACCGGCAACAATGGCTCTTGGAAAGTCTAAATCCGGGCTGCAGAATTCCCAAACACGCACTAAACAAAGCACTCGGTGTTGATGGACGGTGAAGCCCAGGGTAGAAGTAGTAAGTGAATGCGGTGGCAGGTAGGAATGATTGACCGGCCCTCAGCTGCGATTGAATGTGATATCACAAATTGAATGACATCGAACGTTTACAAAGAATGACCAGTAACACTTGTCTGTCGCCCTCATGCCTGGTCCTGGCGTATCTATCCTTCGTTGCCTCCTGGACGACTCACACTGTTCGTTTCGTTTTACTCTGTGTGTTTTGTTTTGTTTTATTATTTTTTGTCTCTGCTTTCTTGCTCCTCTCACTCCTGTCCTGAGAACAGGGAAAGGCCTATTTTTGAAGGTTGAACACTGCCTTATCCCTCTATATCTCTTTCTCTCCCTCCCTCCCTCCATCAATGCCCCTCCGGAGGGTGGAGTGAGACAAGGAGTGCAGGAGCCACTTCGGAGGGGATGCGGGCTGCAAGGCGTCTCCTCGCAGGGTCACCCATTGCGGCATTTCCCCATTGCGGTGCCCACTTGATGTCAAATGCATCGACACCAGCTGGAGAGGAGAGAGCTATCACCCGTCTGGACTGGGATGGGCCGGACCGGAGTGGGACAGGAGGCTGTTGCATTGCAGCATGCATTGCATGTTACGGAGTATACGTCTATACCTGCCTACGAAGCCATGATGATGGCTGATGCTGGGCTGATACTGATCGATCATGAATCCTATCCCTCCTACAGCGGATACATCGATATACTTTTTTTTTGGGTTGGGATGGCAACCCTCAATAACCTGGATACTTGGGGGGGAATGGTTTAATCCCTCTATTTCTCCCTATCACCACGAAGCATCTACATATGAAGCGCCAGATCCCTCTGTAAAATTAAATATAAACCACAAGAAGTTCTGAATTTCTTCGAATATAAAAAAATATGGACATCTTTCTTGGGTCAACTTCCCAGACAGGCAAAATTGAGACGCCATCGCGTCGCGTCGCGTCGCGCGTCACATTAGTAGCGCGTCTGGCGGAAGCGCGTCCGCCAATCGACGGTGGCGGACAACGCAGGTGACCAATCGGCTGGATTCATCGAATTCTCAGGTGACTTCCAAGTGACTCGTCCATCAGCATCACAATCATCGGACTCAACCGGATCCATCGAGTTACTTCCAGCCGGGGCTTCCGTTGAATGGCAACCATCGATGTTTCTGGCCGTTGTTGTCTTGAACGCTAGACAATCATCCCTCCAGTAACCAGTTGTGTTTCGCCGGCAAAGCAAGAGATCGCCAAGCGTCCACTGTTTCCTCCTATCGCTCCGGCTTATCGAGCCCCTCCTCCTGCCCTCCTTGCTTCTTTCCCGGACACTCACGGATCTTCCCTTCCTCAAGTCCACATTCTTGCTCAGGGCAAGGTTTTGATCTCCTTCACACAGGGACGTGACTCCAGGTGGCTATACACTATTCTTTGGCTCGTGTCTCAGAGATCGTGCCAACGATTACTACATAGTAGCTCCCCAGCCGCCTCGGGATATTATGCGTCAGATGACTGCACGTTGATGCTGCCCACGGTTGCTTTCTGCTCTCCTTTGTTCATCCTTGCTTCATCAGTGCACCTCCAGGTTGCACTCGGAAAAATTGGCCACGGTCTTCTGCATCGCATTATCTCGCAGCTGGAGATATCTCCGGACGGGTATATTCTACGACCGTGCCAATGAAATTGCCCCAAACACCTCCATTCAGACTGACATAGCACAGACGACAGCATAACTTGTCTAAGTCCAACAACAGGTCTAACTTGATATCAACTACACCAGACCCATAACCAGATAAATCTATCAAAAAGCCCCCAGCCTTTCTTTACAAAGCCGGAGCCTGAGACCAGACCAAAGAACCCAGACAAGGGTTGACGATCTCAGTACCACGATTAGCAACACACTCCCCTAGAATAGTACAACAAGCGCAAACCATCAGCACGATAGAAACTCAGCTCAAACCTATTGCCCTGTTTCTCCAACTCTATACCGCTTTCCGTTCATCCCTACTCTCCCCCAGCCTCTGCGCAGCATCCACTATCCAAGCAAGGGATACCACACCCTATCGGGCAATTTTCCCACCGGTTCCCGGGGGAATCTAATCTACTGACTGTCTATGCGAATCACAGCACATGCAGGTGCAGGGCGATTGACACCTGCACGGGTTCCTTGATCCACCTAGGAGGTTTTTCGCATGCTACTACCCCTTGATGCACTGTTATTGGTTACGTCCCTCCGCAGCACCAGTAGTCCGAACACACGACGTCAACGTGCGTCTCAGAGGAAGTATATCAAGCGTCTACTATAGAACTCTACGGTGGAAGGAGTTCTTAGTATTACTATTTCCAGTAAACCCAGCAACCAAGCTACAGCCCTAGGACGTAGATCGTCGCCCCCACGCACACAGATACAGTTTTGGAAAACTTGATCCAGCTAGATAGACTAAACCATTAGTAGAAAGCCAGAGTATCAACCTAGTTTCACCCATCTCATCCTATTTAGTATTCCCGACACAGTCCTATGATACCGACAGTGGTCCTGGATTCTATAATAAAAGCAACCTTTACAGTCCGCATTCATCCAAATCTGTAATACTTCCAACCCAGCCTCAATCCTCCCAATTAACTTATAGTTCTCACCCGACAGAGACTGAATACTGCTGAACAATACTACTAATATTACATGAAGACTTATGTATTCCCAATACCTTAGATGATTCCTACCCTCCTTTCCTCCCTCCCTCCTACCCTCTCCCTTCAGGCGTTCAGACAAAGGGACATCCCACCTCACTACACCCCTTGATAAGACTTTCCTATCATCGACAATGAATTAGGCTTTTAGGCAGCCTTCTTCTTTTGATCTGAGTTTAAGGACCGCATGGTCTAGTATTGCAAGATTAGGATAAAGGTACCACGTAGGTACTAGTGCAGCCGATTAACGAAAAGGATGAGTAGATTTCTGGTAATGACACAAAGAGGCACTTCTACGGGCACCACTGGAGCTTACTAGTTTGTGCTACAAGGGGCTAAGACATGGCTGTGTAGGATGGATAGTACCTTTCTGCTGGCGTCCGGGATCCCCCCTTGTTCGTTGTCTGGTCCCGATATCTGATACTTTGATACGTACAGCAACGCTGTCTGTTCAGTTACTCTTTCTGTTTGTTCGAGGTCTTGTGTGATCGAAAGCTTCGTGATTTGTTATTTAAGCTGTCATCGATTTATCTATGCTATAACTAGCTCGTTGAGACTAACCTCACTTTTTAGCATATGCCCTTCCATGTCCTGCGAAATTCCCGTTCACTGGTGACCCGTCATACTGCGACTGAAGGTAGGTTGAGATCCGACAAAGTAGGAGAAGCAATCGCGTGGCCGGAGAAATTTCTGACTGACGAGCTGGGGCTCCATATCTCGTCTGGAAGTTGACTACCTCCCCCAAATACTATACTTGAAGGCGACGTATTTTGAGTATCCCCATTCCTCTCGAGGTTTGGATCATTACTGACTGCTTCTCGAGCGACCATTTCGTCGATGAAGCAATCCAAGCTGGTGATTTCCACAACTATTGGCTCTTTGGGGAGGCAGGGAGTCCAGTTTCTAATTGATCGATAGTAAAGTTCTTTAAACTCGAAGGAATGGACTGGATTGCTGAACCACGCATGTTGCAGCCCTTGCTTGGCGGTCAGGCGCTCTTCTGCGACGATTCTGAGAAGGCGATGAATGAAGTCTTTTGCTCGGGGATGTGCAAATTTTCTGGTCAGACTCTCCTCCAACTTCTCATAACCCCCGATTTTAGCCAAGTCAATTGCGTACGTTGCCATTGAGCCATCACACGAAGTACTACCTGTCAGTAAGACCGCTGTTACGCAACCTAGCGACCACATGTCTGCTGCTTTGGTATAACCCTCTTGACGAGGAGAAATAACTTCTCTGCCCTGGAATTAGCACCGCAAAACACTAACGATCAGAGCACTAACGGAGCACTATATTCGAATGTGCCAACCATGGTCGACATTCGCCCCGTGTTGTGGGTGGCGCATCCAAAGTCAGATAGCACAACCCTGCATCCATCCTCCAAGGATGTCATGAGTATATTGTCTGGTTTCAGGTCTCGATGAATTATATCCCGGCCATGCAAGTAATCCAATGCCATCAGTAGTTGCCGAACTATAACTGCAGCCTCGATGTTAGTAAGCATTCCCCCTTTGTACTGGATATAAGAGAAAAGATCTCCACCAGGTACCAGCTCCTGAAAGAGATAACTATGTTTTCTCTTAGCCACTAGCCGTGCGCAGGCTTATGAACCACACTTACACATGATAGCTAGTTTGTATCACTTTTTTGAGACTGATAATGTTGGGCTATCGTGGTGTCAGAGCAAGGCCCAACAACGAGATTCATCGCGGTAACTTACATGGCAAAGATCTTTCAATATTAGGGCCTCGCGGCTGGAAACTTCCAATCTTTTCCTAAGGTTTGCTTCACGGCCAGACTCTAGTAGCTTCTTCCCGTACTTCATTTTGACCAAATCGGCTTTTTGCAGCACGGTTGGATCGCCATAGTCGTCCCCATTATCACCTGCCCGTGATACCCTAATTATGCCACCCCTAAGAGGTCGGAGGTTTATAACTTTGCAAGCAAGTTGCTGGCCACTAATAGAATTGTAGGCCATGTACACCTGTCCGTAAGCACCAGATCCCAATCTACGTGGTGTGACGCAGTACGTATTGTTGAAAAACTGCGAAAAATTAGCACGGATTTCAATCTCGATGTGGAATCGCACTGCTAACCTGGATCTCTTTGGTCATGACGATACCAAGGCGTTCTTGCACATGCATCTGATAACTGAACCTGAGAAATATACCCACCGGCAGCTGGATTATGTCGCCATCACTGAGGAGAAATCCACCCTTGCCTGACATGGGGTAGATGTTCCATACAGCCCCATTTTCGGAGATGTCCTCGGCGTAAACCAATGGCAAAATGCTTCCAGGGTTCTCATGGTCGAATAGAATGGTATATATGCGGAGGTGTTGACGAGAAACGAACTTATTATCCAGCACGAAATGACTTTGTATCGGTTAACTTCCACATGCGAGATGGGATAGAAAGCGTACCACTTATCCGGGTCTCTACCGACATATACCGTCTGGTGGCTCCGGATGATCAGCTGCTCGTCCGCTCGACCGGTCTCTGGATCCCATCTAGATAATATCCCAACAGCATCGGGGGTCTGAGACCAGGACATGGTGGGTGCTTGGGGGGCCGAGGAATGATAGGATTAACGATAAGTTAGGATGCTTGCTAGGCGGGATATGGATAGGAAAAATCTGAGAGAAGCATGATTGAGTAGGCCAGGTAATGGATCACCGAACCGTTATAGAGTTGTTCACGCTGGAACATCCAGCGCCGGCAGGTCAGGTGCCTGCCTGCCTATCTGGTAAGTTCTAAGGCAACAACAACCATCTACTGCACTAACACTTTCATATAGTGTGCGGCCGATGGATTAGAATCACCGTTAAGCCAGTCGCCGGCACTTATAAGTTTCAAATAAGCAGAATTCAAGACATAGCCAGCCAGAGCACAACCGAACATGGACTGCTGGCTGCTGTGGCCATTCGATTCTATTCATCAAAAGACATCAATACGCTCCGTACAATGCAATGCTACATGCCATGACTTCATCACAGATCTGAGGGAAAGCAAAGAGTGAAAACTTTGAGCAGTCAAATTCATCAATTCCCTTGCAATCGTCGAATGCGTTCCTCAGCTGCTCTAGCGCGGCGTTCCCGTTCCAGCCGCATTCTCATTTCCGGCGTCATACCTCGCATCTCTTCTTCCCTCTTCTCAGAAGCCGTCTTCTCAACAGAACCCAGCGTTCGACCAGCTGGTTTCTTGGAGGCGCGTTGTGCGGCGCTAGCCACCTCCTCCTTTTTCAAGCGATCCATTTCAACCTTGCGTCGACTCGTCTCTTCTTCCTCTGCGATTTTTCGCTCCCTCTCAGAGCGGCTGTTGGCCTCGTCTCGAGAGATCGGTGACGGCACTTTGGTAGCCTCCCAATCCCACTTCGACTCGCCTAGCTCATGACGCGCAACGCGAAAGGCGTCCCGCGTCGCACGATCCCCAGCAAGCTCGAATGGGGTTCTTCCTTCGCCATTGGTCGCTGTTGGGTCTGCTGTGGTTTTGGTCAAAAGGGCGAGGACCATGGATGGTGAGTTAAGATTGGCAGCGAAGTGTAGGGGGGTGGGACAGCGGAAATTTTGCTGAGAGTCGGATGGCCGAAAGGCGAAAGACGCAGGGAGTGAGTTCTTAGATAGATAAGTCATCAATGCTGGGATCTTAGAACGACGGATGAGAGCCTGAATTTGGCTTGTGTGTAGCATAGCCGCTTCATCTTCTTTGGAAACCTTAGGCTTCTGCTGTTGAGGCCGTGGAGTTGACGGCTTCGACACTTCGTCCCGTTGCTTGGCCTCTGCAGCCGCCAACGCGGCTTCGTCGATTTGGCTTACTTTCACCCGGGTGAGCTCCTTGAAGCAACGCATCAGCTCCCCCTGGGTTGCCCGACGGGTGCTGAACGGGAAGCCTCTCAATCTCGGGTCGTTTTGCCTGAGAACCTGGCCCTCATACTGGCTGAAAAGGATTCGACGATTTGTACTGCCCGTGGCACGAACAAACAATAGTTCGGCCTCATCAATCATCTGCTTCCAATCGGTCAATAAATCTCTGACCTCCTTCTCTAACGCAGCTTCATTGTATCTTCTGAGACTGGAACCTGCCGAATGCGCGGCCCCCTTGGCAGCATCATTAGCAGATTGCGAGCCACCTTGCTTTCGTCTGGTCGTGTAACGATGAAATGTCTTGTGCGCAATGACCCGAGCTTGTCTATCCTCGATACCGCCCTGCTTCCGATGAATTTCGGGAGCCAGCGAGACCAGCATTGCGGCGAAATGGCCGCCTCCGATCATGCACATGAAAACATGAGGGCTGGGGGATGACGGCGTCTGTTGGGCATTTCCATTGGCTCTCGGCGGCATGATAGGTGCAAGCTGCTTCCTTTGAATGGTTTCAACGAGGTGTCTGGGCTCATCCTGTTCAGCATTTGAGAACAAGGCCCGGTAGACACCCAAGGACATGTTGGAAGGCAGACGTGTGCTAGCGAGCCAGAAAAGTGGTGGCCTGCCGGAAGTTTTCTTCTTCGATGGTGCTTCATCCTCATCGTCTACCCGAGAGATTTTGGCCTGTCTCTTCAGCAATGCTGAAAGCTGATCATCCTCCTCTTCCTCATCCTCTGCTTCTGACGACTCGGACCCGGATATAGACTCGTCGAGTTCCCCAATCGCTTTTGCAAATTGAGGCTCGTCCAATGTTAAACCTCCTCTAAGCTGGGCCTTCAGGTTATATCTATGATGGTCGGAGCGAACATGGCTCCGTTGTTCTTGGACGTTCAGGTACGAGACCTTGCAAAGAGTACAACTTGTTGTCGAGGCAACCGCATGATCCAACACGACTTCGTTGGTCTTGTCTGCAACAGCTTCAGGGGTGTCCGCTCTTAATATCGCTTGGTTTTCATGCTTCGTGGTTAGCGTCGAGAGAAGTTCCTGTGGAAGATTGTACACTTCGGATGTCACAATGTGTCAGCAAGCCATCTATCATTTTGGTATTGATAAGAAAAGACCCAATCTAAGGACGAGCGAACACCAATGCTTACCATATAGAGGCCTTTTGACAATTTCCTCAAGAGGTGTATCTGTAGCCATGTTGACAGCCCAGAAAACGCACAACTGTTGGTGAAGCTTTTGAACGATCTGGGACTTGAATGTTGCGCGCCAAAAGAATGACGCTGCAGGAACCCCTCTGGCAGCCCACTCACCGCCTTCCGCCTTGGATGTGGGGCGCGAACCTCAATTAAAATGCTTCTGGAAGGCAGCCGGTTGTTCCGGTCATACTTAGACTGACTGGCTATCTACTAAGTTTATTATCATACTAAGTATCTGCTGTTTGACCGGTTCGGGGAGGATACAGTTAAATAGAAGCGGAAAGGTTCAAAGACACTGGTTGTGACCATGCAGTAAGTTAGAAGTTCCAGAGCCGGCCGTACTAAGTAGGCCTAGAAGCATTAATTATCACTATTTTTGTACGGAGTCGGCCAGCAATTGATGAGCATGCTTTCAATACTTTGTTCCTTTATTCCATTTTCCTACCTCAATGTTTTCCTTTTATGTTCGAAGAACCACATTGTGAAAGATGGTAGCGTCTTGCCACATTGGGAATCCCGATGAAGCTTGCTTGACGATGACAGAGCTTGTGATCAGCACACGGGCTATCTAGCACACTTACCAAGTGGAGCAGGGCTAATAGGCTGCCCAGTAGCGGTGTTGCCCAATGGCTTTCATCTAGCTGCCTTAAGAAATGGAGCAGGCGATGAGCAGATGGACGATCTCTGTCTGTTGTCCGATGACCATCGCTGAGTTAGTAGATACCGTGAGGGCGGGCAGAGATTCTGGAAGTTTACTCCGAATAGGCGGTATCTCCGGGTGGGGTAGTCGGTGCTAATTCGGGCTCAAACCCCGACTCCGAGACTCCCAAAACATCCAATCAGGCTGAGCACATTCCCGCGGGTAAGCACGACATCGGTTAGCGTCATTTCAAGGCGAGCCACCGCTTTGAAAATAATGGATTACTTACTCTATTACTACTAGGAATCCTAGAGATCTGGTCCTATAGCTGTGCTTAGTAAGTCAACCATAGAGGCAGCCCAAATGAAGCAGCAGGCAGTTACATAATGGTTAATATGATGTGTAACACTAGGTAAGTACGATACAAGGTCAGCCTTTCCTCTAAGGCTGGACTGGGATGATCCGGAGTTAACAAACGAAGACTGGCTTACATCGTAGTAGACAAGCACTGCGTAGATAAGCAGCCGTTCATTACATCATTGGTTATTGCCTCCGCCCACCTACACTTCATTCAAACTACTATCTCTGTCGGGCTGTGCGCTTCTCAAACCCCGAGGCGTTGATGGGACACTGTTCAGAGCTTGGATCATAGAATATCTAAAAGGAATGTAAGACCTAGTAGAGTGATAAGTGGCAGTTATAGAGGATACTACTGCTTTCGGTCGAGAACCTTGGATCAACCCTGCCAAGCACCGTTACCACGAGGAAAGAGACCGAATTATGTCATAAACTCGGAATACATCCCTCGCCTTCTCGATGTTAGCCAGAAAAGGTACGGGAGGACGGGAGAACACTGCAACACTTCAACTTACACCGACATCCACGCGCTATAGGCAAAATACGAAAGGCTTCTCATCCATTACCACTGCGCTCAGGCAAAGGGAAAAAAGGGGGCCATGCGCTTAGTATGCCGCTTATCAGGCCGGACAGAACGGTAACGCCCTTGTACGACCGCTTACTTACCCTTGTATCTTTTCCGCAAAAGCTTGGGCCCAGAGGCCTTTTAGTAAGCAGCTTGCAGCTCACTAACGAATCAGTAGTTCTCCGTGGTTATCGCCCTCGACGAAACGTTCTTCCTTCACGATCGCAATCCTTCCTTGCGTGAAAAGGCAACCTCGGGGCTTTTCACTGCTTCTCCCTTCCCCCCCGTTGCATGTCCGAAAGGACGAGCGATCTAGTGGTTGGGATACTTACATTCGGGGAAAATGCTGGAAGGCAGTTCCCAAACGTTCCTGGGGGATTCCACCCCCGGATCCCTGCTATCGTCAAACCCGAACACAGCATTCCAGTCCCCCAAGCTACAGCCCTTTTGTGGCGACGTCGAGGGCTGGGGCCCGATCAGTCAGTTCAGATTCGATTTGACACCATGCTTTCTAGATGCCGGAGTGGCTGTCGTTGCAGCATGGGGTCTGCTTATGGGTACGGGTGCTGTGTGGTACTTGCTTAAAAAGCGAATCCCTCAGCCCGTGTCGAAGAACTGGCATTTCTATGCCAAGCTGGTTAGCATCCTACCCCTTCTTCTATAGTATCCCTGCCTTTGGACTGACCGGTGCCCATTGCCCCTGTGTTAGGCCGTCTTGTCCGCCTTGATCTTCGCTACTGCCCTACAGGCAGCCATCCAGGTCGAAACTTACCCGGATAACTGGTTCGCCGACTTTCAATTTTGGAGCTCAGCTCTTGTGCTTGCTTCTCTCGGTGTCATCTTTGCAGTGCAGTACTATGAACACTGGCGCAGTCGGCAGCCCAATGGTGTCGTCTTGTTCTACTGGCTCTTCTTCACCATCGCCTACGG